TCCCTACAGCAGCCCCAGCAAGAGGACTGGCAGCAGGGACAAGAAGCCAGTGGACTTGGGAGAGGCAGGACCCTCGCCCCATCTGATGCAGCGCCCCCCCCCACCCCCCGCCCCCGGCTCTCTAGATTTCCAACATCTATTTTCAACTCTCCTTCCTAGGACCTGTATGCTTATCAATTATTTTTCGAACAATTTTTGGTTCAGAAAAGAACCATGACCCAAAACTCATACTGCTTTTCCCTTCATTTAAATTTCAGCATGTTTTCTAAAAGTTTCTACGAGCTGCTCAAAGCTAAAATGAAGAAATGCAAATGGGCACCTGTGGGATGGGTAATTGTATGTCAACCTGACTGGGTCAGGGGGTGCTCAGATAATTGGTCAAACATTATCTTGGTGTGTCTGTGAGGAGGCCTTGGGGTGAGATTAACATTGGAAGCAGTAGCCTGAGTAAAGCAGATCGTCCTTCCGTCCTTCCGCGTGGGGGTGGGCCTCATCCAATCAGTTGAAGGTTGGAATCGGAACAAAGGCTGACACCACCTCACCCCCCACCGCTTGACTACGTTTGGACTTAGACATTGGTTTCTCCTGTCTCTGGAGTCAAACCAAGAAGTTGGCTTTTCCTGGGTCTGGAGCTTGCAGGGCTTTGGATCGAAATTCCATCCTTGTCTCTCCCAGTGTCAGACCTTCAGAATCACATTGGGGTTCTAGAATGCCTTTCTATGCATTGTTTTTCTGTGCGCTGCTTTCCCATATGTGGGTACTCACAAAATCAGCAGGTGTGAACGCCCTCCTAAATTGGAAGGCACAGTGATTCCCGTTCTGTAGGTTGGGGAAGCTGAGGCACAGAAGGTATGGCGATGGTAAGCCGTCTGGCTGTTGGGAAAACAAGGACAGACCGAGGACGTCCAGCCGCCGGTGCGGGCCTTCCCTCAGCAGGTCACTGCAGGTGGTGCCGCCTGTAGAACCCGTGCGTGGCCATCGGCCTTCCCGGTCTTCTGTGCGCCCCTGACAGCGGGCACCTGGGCCCTCGCAGCCCTGCCCCCAGGGACCCCAGCTTGTGGTAGCAGGTGCGCCTCTGGCGCCCGGGGCACCTTAGGGGAGGGCCCCTGCTTCTCCTCAGTCCAACCTGCTCTGGCTCGGAGCCGAGGACGCCGAATGTCCAGCACGTTCCCTGGGGCTTGGAGACGACGTCCGCATATGCGCTGTACCCTCACTTTCCAACCAACCCAACTCTGCAGGCAACAGTTGCCAACGTGGAAGGTCCCAAGCACCCACCACCGCCCGTGTTCCCTGGATGCAGCTCCCGCCCAGCGCCCCTTAGAGATGAAGCACCTCCCAACCCACCCTAGCAATGAACATCACAGACCCCATGCCGCCCTTGCCCAGAGCCCCCCCTTCCCACAGGGACCTGCCCCTGCAGCTGGGACCCCGGCTAGAGGTCTTACCCCAGGTCTTCAGGCCCCTAGGATGGCCCTGCCACCTATGCCTCTCCCTGCGCTCACCACCCTCACCCCCAACCTGAGCCCAGGTGAGGCGGGGAACCACTCCCGGCCCGCTCCACCCGGTTGATGGATGGTCATGGCCAGGGCTGCATGTGGAGCAGGACTCCAGGAAGGGGGCAGTGAGCAGTGAGCGACGCCCCCCGTGTCATCCCTGCCCTAGGCCACCGTTGCGAGCCTCTCAGCCCTGATCGCCACATCCCAGGACAGTGCTGGAGGCACTTACCTTTTGACCTGTAGGGTCCTAATGGGTTTTGTGGTGGAGTCTGCTGTGTGCAGGACCCCAGAACTCAGAGCCCTGCTGAGGTCAGCTTACTCCCCCCCTGCAGGCGGACGGGGCGCACAGAGCCCAGCTCGGACACCGACACTGAAACCAGACACGCAGTTCATGTCCTCGGACACATGTTCCAGGGACAGGATGCCCATCCTCATCCTGTGTGTGTGCGTGTGAGTGTGTGGGCATGGGTCTGCACACGCACGTGAGCGTGTGAGCCAGCCAACAGCTGAGCATGTCTGTACTTGCACACGTTAGACTGTGAGCTACAAACACTCCTGAGTGTGTGCATGCACACAGGCAAAAATGTGAGTGTGTAAGCACGTGAGCATCTGCACCACGCATGCACACTCGAGCGTGAGCCAGCGTGCATGTATACAGGTGAGCATGTGCATGTGAGATCGGGTGTGCATGTGTGTGCACGGAGTGTGACCGTTTGTGCACACGACTGTGTGTTTGTATGCACACGTGGGTGAGTGTGTGCGTGTGAGTAGCATTGCACGCTGGCAGTTTTTCCCAGATTCCAGGATCTCGGACACCGTGTTGGGCGAGACGCTGTTTTCTGCACGGAGGTGCTGCCCAAGGAGAGGGAGCTTGGGGCGGAGGCGGGGGGGGGGTGTTCCTGGCCGGATGGACATGTGACCGGACACTTCTTGGAAGTGACGAACGTGACATCCTAGACAGACGCCCCTCTCGCTGCTGGGTGCTGGGTGCAGGGCTGTTTGCTCCTCAGAGCGTTCACATGGAAGAGAAACGTGGAAAAACGCCGCGGCCGCCGTACGGAAGACTTTGCCCGCGTGGTGACGGGAGGGGACTACCTCACCGCGGGTGGAAGGAGAACGACACAGCTGGGTGACTTTCGGGGCTTGGAAGAGAAGGAGGTGGAGGGAGCACAAAGCTAGCGACAGACGGTCAATCTTGAGAGTTTTTCTTTTTAAAAATATGAGCTTTACTATAAAGGGAAAGCGCGTCATGACAACATTTTATGGACAGTTGCAAGTTAGCATGAAGTGCTCGGCTGGAAGGATGCCTTGACCTGGCTCTGCTCTCCTGGGCTGTCTGGCTGGACGTTCCCTGGCTGTGTCCAACCAGACAGCGGGTCCAACCAGACAGGGGAGCGCAAAGAATCTGGGCTTCAGGATCGAATCTCCCAGGTCACCGGCTACGCGGCCTCTCTGACCCTCAGCATCTTTATCTGTGCAATGGGGATAAGGGATCGGCTTCCTCCAGTGGCTCTAAAGAGGAGAGAAAGCGCGCGGACCAGCTTCAACCGAGGGTGGTATTATCCTCGGCTGCACCTTCATGCTTTATAGAAGCACTCGTACCTTGTAGGAGCAAAGGTTCCAAGACAGAATAGAATAGAATGTTGCAATTCAGATTCAACTCACATTTTAAAAAAAATTATTTTTAATTTTTAAAAAAGATTTTATTTATTTATTCTGAGACACACACACACACACACACACACACACACACACAGAGGTGGAGACACAGGCAGAGGGAGAAGCAGGCTCCCCGCGGGGCCCTGATGCGGGACTCGATCCCAGGACCTCGGGGTCACATCCTGAGCCGAAGGCAGATGCTCCACCGCTGAGCCCCGCCAGGCACCCCTCACCTCACATCTTTAAATGTCCAGACTTCCCTAAATTACAATACTTTTTCTATTTATTGTTAGTGCCCATTAAAGTCTCCTTTGTTGAAGACTGTTACAGCTTTAAAATGTATTTTCTTATTGAACCTTTTTTTTTTTTAAACCTCAGCACAGCTCCCCAGTCCATCCTGCGCTACTGGCTTTCCCCCAGGGGTGCTGCCCTCCGGGACCCTGGCCCCGAGCCCCTCGGCGGCGGCGGGATTGTTTCCACTCCTTTGTTTATGCCTCGTGCCCTGGCATCTGCCCGCAGGTGCAGCCGCTAATCGTCCCACAGGTTCATCTGCTGAGGATAAACGACGTAGCAACGTCGGTGCGCGGCGAGGCTGAAGGTCCCTTGTGGAGGAGCCCTTCTGGGGTTGGGGCGCGAGCGAATAGCCCCCGTGAGCCCCACAGCCAACATGGATCTTCGTTACCTCGTCTGAACGTTTCCTCGGTAGGACCAGGGAGCTCTGGCGTTAAAAATGCGCTTCCAGCTTTCGGTTCCAGCAGAGGAGCCGGACGGCAGCGCCGGCTAGAAAGCATCTGCTGCAAAATGTCCAAATCCACGCCACCCGGGACAGCCACGGGGGGGACCACATGCCCCAGCTGTCGTCCCATCACCCACACCATTCCTCTTGAAGCTCTGGGGCTCTCTCTGGATTGTGCCCGTGTTTGCAGAAGTGCGCACGGAGATGGGTCTTCCCAAGAGATTTTTTTTTTTTTGGTTGTTGTGTTTTTTGTTTTTATATATATATATATATATAAATTTATTTTTGTATGTTTTATATATATATTTTCTACGTTTTTATGTATATTTATATATATGAATATATATATTTTCTACATATATATATATTTTTTTATTGGAGTTCAATGTTCAATGGACTGTTTTGGCTTTATTTCGTTCCCCTGTCTGCACGGCGAGCAGCAGCGTCTGCGTGATGTTGCATCTGGGTGCTCTGTGCTGATTTACGCTCCCATTCTCCCGCGGTGGCTCCCTTCGACGCCTTGCCATCGTAGGCGCTGACGAGGAGCGGGCATCTCTGGGGCAGTAGCTCCACGCGGCCCTCACGCCACCCTCCCCGCCCCCAGCCCCCGAGGAAAAGGTCGCGGGGCCGAGGGCTGCGAACATTTTAATGGCTTTGATCTGCATTGTCCGACTGTGTGAAGGACGCTTTTCTGAACCCGATGTACCACTTTGATGTGGTGCTGTTTTCGCGCCGATAAGGTAAGAGAATACTTTGCGCTGATGGAGGGAGTCAGATTTGGGCCTGAAATGGGTTTTCTGCGTAACAGCGAGATGGGACCTAGCGATGCCGCCTGGTGGTCGGGTACTCACCTTTCCTGAAAGATGCCATCTGTCTGGAGCGAGAATGGGCTGGGCCACGCGGGTTCCCCGAGGGACGCGGCCGTGGTGGTGGCAGGTGTTAACGAGCTGGCATAAGGGACTTGGTCCCTCGGAGCGCGCTCGCTGAAGCCATCGCCACCGCCGGCGGTGGCACTGGGAACAGAAGGGACCTTTCTTCAGGCTCGGCGGCCCAGGCCCCTCGGTGCAGCTGCTCAGGAGAGGCCCAGAGCCTCGCCGCCTCCGCTGACCATGCTCAGGACGCTGAGGCTGGCGCTGCTGGCTCTGGTCAGCGTGGCGGGCCCGAGCCAGGCCAGCGGCTTCACAGGTGAGGGCTCGGGGCTCACGTGGGTGATGCTGGAGGAGCAGGGATCTCCCGGGGAGCAGGTCTCCGGAGGACGGTGGGCCTGCAAAGGAGCGTCTGCTTTGAGAGGCGACATCTGTTCCGTCTTGCCAGACCTTCTGGCAGCCACCAAAGAGGTGGTGTGTGTGCGCCTCTGGGTCAGCTGGGGGCCGGGGGAGTTCGCGTGCAGGTTCTGAGGCGGAGGGGCCTGCAACTCTGAATTTCTGCCCGTGGTGTGGGTGCGGCAGGCCCGCAGGCCCTGCAGACTGCTCCGAGTCTCAGAGCCTTGGAGGGGGACCCAGAGCGGTCAGGGAGGCCCCCCTCTGGCCACACGGCCGGCAGCAGCCCGAATTTCCACCCTGATGATCCTTGCCAGGGCCCCTGGCTCGAACCTGCTTCCCCTGCCAGGCAGGCTGGGGATGGTGAAGTGGGCTCTCACGGCCAGCTACCCTCCCCCCCTTGGGGTCCACCAGCCCCAGCATCCTCCTCGGTAAATGAAGGTGAAAAGTGGCCGGCAGGGCAGTGAGGGACCCAGTGAGGGCGCCTGCCCAGAGCCTTTGCCGGGCACCTGTTCCTGCAGAGAGCATGTCTGGTTTCCGAAGCCCCGGGTTGCGGAGAATGGAGGTTGCAAACTTTCACAAACAATCATTTCCCTCTGAACTCTGTCTTACTCAGTTGAGAATTCAAACACATCCACTCCGTTTCTACGCTCGACTTCGTTTTGGCACTGTTTTTTTTTTTTTTTAATTTAATTTAATTTTTTAAAATAAATTAATTTTTATTTTTGTTCGATTTACCAACATACAGAATAACACCCAGTGCTCATCCCGTCAAGTGTCTCCTTCAGTGCCCGTCACCCATTCACCCCCACCCCCCGCCCTCCTCCCCTTCCACCACCCCTAGTTCGTTTCCCAGAGTTAGGAGTCTTTATGTTCTGTCTCCCTTTCTGATATCTCCCACACATTTCTTCTCCCTTCCCTTCTATTCCCTTTCACTATTATTCATATTCCCCAAATGAATGAGAACATACACTGTTTGTCCTTCTCCGATTGACTTACTTCACTCAGCATAATACCCTCCAGTTCCATCCACGTTGAAGCAAATGGTGGGTATTTGTCGTTTCTAATGGCTCAGTAATATTCGTTTTGGCACTGGTTTAAAGTTTTTTCACCCGCTGCCAAATTTTGGTTCGTGATTTCTTTTGCTCGATTTTCCCTGCAAGATGGGTAACGTGTGAACCCCAGAGCTCAGTGGCAGAGAGGACGGGAGCATCGAGAAGCTGGAGCTGTCAGGAACCCCTCGCCGTGCCGTGGGGACTCGGGGGCAGAGGGTCGGGGTTGTGTCAGGGTTACACAGCTCCTTGGCCTCGTGGACCAGGTGTTGCTTTTGCAGGCAGAGCTTCATTTCCTTAATTCCAGGGCATAGTTAGTATTTGACAGATGACAACTCTCTCTCTCTCTGTGTCTCTCATGAATAAATAAAATCTTAAAAAAAAAAAAAAAAGAAAGAAAAGGGGATCCCTGGGTGGCTCAGTGGTTTAGCACAATCTTCAGCCCAGAGCGTGATCCTAGAGTCCCGGGATCGAGTCCCACATTGGGCTCCCTGCATGGAGCCTGCTTTTCCCTCTGCCTGTGTCTCTGCCTCTCTCTCTCTCTGTGTCCCTCATGAATAAATAAATACAATCTTAGAAAAAAGAAAGACAGATGACAAAATGGGGTCACCAGGAGGGCATGAAACATGCTCAGAGTCACAGAGCTGGGATTAGGGGAAGCTGGTGTGAATGAGGATCTTCTGACCCCAGGACCACGCTCACTGCAGGGCTTTCTCTCCCGTGTCTGAGACCAGAACCCAGGAGCCCCGGCTCCCGCGCTGATGGGTCTTGGAAGGATTTGCAGGATGGGAGGTTCTGCTGTAAGGTTTCTCCTCTGGGCTCTGCTAAGAAGCCAGGCGTGGAGAGGACCCGGTGGCTTCTGGAGGAACGCAAAAATCAAAATGAGACAAACATCCCAGAGTTTCAGAGGAAGAGTGTGTGTGTGTGTGTGTGTGTGTGTGTGTGTGTGTGTGTGTGTAGCGTGCACGCACTTTTGATGCAAGAGGGCTCTGCTGATGCTCCGCTGGGACCTCGTCATGATCGGTTGGAGACAGCGGCTCTCTGGAGCCTGGGAAATGTACCTTCGCTAGTGGTTAGCATCTCCTCTTAGGATACGATGCAAAACAAACTCTGGAGCCACCTTGCCAAATTCTCAGTGCGGGAAGCCTTGGCTTGGACAAGGCTGTTGGACGCTGTCACACGTCACGTCTCCTGTCCCTCACCCAAGGGATATCCAAGCTCCAGGCCGTTTCCCTGGGCTGGGAAGCTGGTTTCTGCTGCCCCACCCCAAGCACAAGGGCCTCCCCACTCCTCGCCCCAGCTCCCCTTTGGGGAGAGGGGGCAGCAGGCTGCTGCGTGGCTGCCTCCCAGTCAGCACCGTGGGTGTAGCTCTGGGCTGGGCTTGCTCTGGTGCTGGGGTTCGGCCCCGGGTTCTGCCCAGAGCAAGGCTGCGGGCCCCCTCCTCAACCTGGGCTGGAGGGCTGGCTCGGCTCCGCTTCTCCCTGGGGGTCATCAGCCCCCAGAGTCTCGCTTTCTGCACCCTCGTGGGATGCCGTGAAGCCCAGGGAGGGAGTCTGGGGGCGCCGTCCTGGTGCTGGCGATGCCGACGATTTCTGCTGCCAACACAAAGCTCCTGTCCCCGAGGGGTACACGCTCGGGACAGTTTCCTAAAGCCTCGGCTCACAGGTCAGGCATCTGAGAGCGTAAAGGGCAGTCAGGCCGCCCCTTCATCCTGCCCCGAGAGCCCACAGTGCGGGGCCCAAGGCCGGTGCGGAGTCTTGGCTCCCTGGGGCTGCCTTGACGAGGCTCCAAGCCCTGGAGATTTTCCTCCCAGCTCTGGGACCAGGAGCCGGAGGTCAGGGTGTGAGCAGGGCTGGCTCCCCCCACTCTGTGACGGGGCATCTGCTCCATCCTCTGCCCTGGCGTCTGGGGGTCTGCAGACAGGCTCGGCGCTCCTTGGCTAGTAGACGTATCTCTCCAATGTCCGCCTGCGTCTTCCCGTGACCTCCTCCACGTGTGTGCATGTCTGTCTCTGTGTCCAGATTCCCCCTTTTGTAAGGACACCTGTCATGATGGATTGGAGCCACCCAGTGCGGCGTAGCCCCATCTTAACCAATTAGGTCTGCAGACACCCCTTCCCAGGACTTGAGCACATGGATTTTGGAGGGGTGGGTGGGGACACGATTCGGCCCATAGCAGTCCCTGCTACACGAGGCAACAGAGGCTCCACGGGCAGATGGGACGCCCCAGGACCCAGGCTGGTGAAGGGAGGGGGTGCCCGGGGGTCCTGAGAACCCAGTGATCGTATAACGAAGGGACAGGGGCCGTGGGCGTCTGTGCACAGCAACCGGGCTCCAGGTGAGAGACGCAGAGACGGAGCGGGCAGGTGGGTGTCACACGCTGAGCTTCACCACCTGGGAACGTCTCCTGTGTGCTTGGGCCGCTGCTTATTTATGTTGAACCTCATTCCGAAAAAGGCCGCCCTTGCCATCTGAGCCTGGCACGCAGCAGCCCTTATTGAGGGGACGGTGGCGTACTCGTTTCACATGTGAGGCCCTCGAGGCTCGTGGAGATTCAGAGGCAAGCACAGGATTCTCCAGCCTGCAGAATTGGGGGACACAGGTCAGGGAATGGGGACCTGAGCCCCAGATGTCTAGTCCCTACTGTTTGTGTCTGCAGAGAGCACTTTTGAGCGTGCAGGGTCCCCATTTACACCTGACTTGCCTGAGTTCACGCAATCACCTGACTTCTCTGTGGGCTGGTGGGAAGACTCCCGGGGTGCAGGGGGTGCAGGGGGTGCAGGGGCAGGAGGTCTTGTCTCCCCTGCTCTTGCAGAAGTGGAGGACTGGTCCAGAACCCCTTCTATCCATTTGATTTCGGCTTTTTCTCCTTGGTTGTTTCCTCCATCTCTCCTCCCCACACCCCCAACCACCCCGTAGAAAAAGGCCTTTCCTTGCTGAGCTTCCAACTGTGCAACTACAGCGTGACCCAAACCGTCCAGAAGGTGGAGGCTGTCCAGACGTCGCACGTGACCCACGCTCCCTGCGGCGGGTGGATCCCGTGGAGGCGATGCCCCAAGACCGTGTACAGAACCCAGTACCTGGCCGTGGAGGTCCCCGTGTCCAGGAACGTGACCGACTGCTGTGCGGGTTACGAGCAGCTGGGCCTCTACTGCGTCCTGCGTGAGTCCGGGGCGGCCGGCGGGTAGGTGGGGGGGCCCCTCCCCTGCCCTCTCCCCAGGACCCCTGAAGGGACTCAGCACAGGCCCTGTTCGCACCCCTTAGCCCTCCTGCAACAGGCTAGAGCGTGCACGAGGAAGGCCAGGAGGGCCTGTCCAAGCACAGGCCACCGGCCTACCCCCAGGTCTCGGAACCAGCGGGTCCGGGGGGAGTACAAGTTCCCCCCTGGTGCTGATGCTCTGGGGGCCCCCCTTTGAGAACTTCCACTCTCGAGCAGCCGCTCTCAGGCCTGCCTGCATCCTCAAGGTCCCTGGGCAGCTTTAAAAATGCTAATGCCTGGATCCCATCCTCAGAGAAGGTGATAGAATTGGTCTGGGGCACAGCTGGGGCATTGGGACTTTTTTTTTTTTTTTAAACTCTTGAGTGATTTGAACGTGTAGCTGAGGTTGAGAACCAGCATTGCAACCTCTCCTATATTGGCAGCCGACCGTTTCCTTTTAAAGCTGTAGTGGAATGAGTGTTTCCTTCACCCGAAATCCTAATCTGAGCCCCCACTGTGTGAAAGGAAGGGAAATCCTCCTCTCGGCACCCCCTAACTGCCCAGGGGCCCCCAGGTCCCCTTCCTTCCTCGGGGCTGTTTGGAGGATGCTTGAGGCAGTTCCCCGGGCGGCCAGGGTGGCTGTGCCCGGGGAAGCGTGAGAGGCCAGGGGGGCTGGGCTTTGGGACATTCAGGGCTCAGCCTCTTGACCTAGAGAGAACTTTCCAGAAGACCTCTTCTAGGGGAAAGGATGCATGTGTGTGCGTGTGGGTGGGGCGGTGGTGGTTAAAGTTGAGTCAACTCCAGATCTAAAATGAGTTTCGGAGCTGTCAGAAGGTGTCCCTGACCCCACCCTGCCGTGCAGGGGAAGTGGGGAGGGTGTGGCTCCCCTGAGTTTCCAGGGGCCGCCCCTAGACAGGAGGGTGCTATCTCCAGAGTGCACAGAGCAGCAATCTGGGGGTCTGGGGGGAGGCATCCCCGGGGCCCAAGGCCAGGATGCTGCACACCTGGGGGGTTGGCGCCCACCCCTCCCAGAGTTTGGTGCAGACTCTGCAGAAAGGCCATGTGGGCTTGGCACACAGAGTCATCCTGAGCGTGTCCTTCTCAGGGCCCCAAAGCCACCTCACAGGGGACAGGGATGGCTGACCCTTCCCATTGACCCCGTTGGGACGGCCACACATGGAGATGACGGGTGAAACGACACCACTATAGCCAAGGCCATCGCCGCCACCGATAAAAACCAGGTAGCTCTGGCTGACCTCAGGGCCTGGTCTCAGCTCGGGGTGGGGGGGGTCCCCACTGGTGCCCTTGGGGGCTCTTGCAGGGTGGGGCTGTGCTAGGGGCTGGGTCTGGGGAGCCCCTTCCTGTGCTGACACTGGTCCCCCCGTCTCTAAGGGCCACATGTGCACAGGAAGCCCTGCCTGGCAGCAGCAGCACATCTCTTCCTGGGGAGTGTGGGGGTCCCCGTGTCAGGGAGGCCTCAGGCCGTAGCATCTTGGTCTGGGGGTTCAGGATTTGGTGGCAGAGGTGGGCGCCACCCTGTCGCATCCATCCTCTCTTCCTACCTGCTTGCTGCTCCTGTGACATCACTTGACCAGGGAGGACCAGAGCGTCCGAGGAGCGCCCCCCCAGGGTCTGAGCCCCACCAGCCCCACCCGCCCCACCGGTGCTGACTGGTGCTTTTCTGTCGGGCGGCTGCCCTGCGGGCTCAACAAGCTAATTCTCCCGGGAGACGGAGGGCTGACGTCCCCTCCTTGTCACCCGCTCCTCATCTTTCTTGCCCTCCACAAGCCAGCTCCCAGGAAGTGCCTCCTGTGGGACCTCAGCCCCACCTCTGAAGCGTTGGCACCTTTAATTAGGGACTCAGCAGGTGTGGGGAGGCCCAGAATGTTCTAGATCCGAGAGTCCCATGGGCAGGGCTTTCTGGGGGACCTGCAGGGAATGGTGAGGCTGTGGAAGGGGGACACACCGGGAGCGAGAAAGGGAGGAGTCCCCTGGAGCTCTCATCAGAGGCCCCTCCGAGGCGGCTGAGCGGGGCAGGGGTCCCCCCTGGGTCTTGGGGGGTCGTTCTAGCAGCTGTGTGGGAGCCCGGCAGGAAGGAGAAGAGGAGGCAGTGGGTCTTCATTGCCCACGTCCTTTATGACAGGCCAGCCGGGCAGGTGCCTGGTCGCCGCCGGCCGGCCCGGAGCATCGCCCTAATGCAGATGGGGTCACAGACGGCAGCGCGGAGTGGGGGGCAGGGGTGTCAGGTGCCTCGACCAATGTGGCACTGACTTGGGCCGCGTCTCTGCCACCCCCGGCCGGATTCAGTTTGTGGCATCTGAGGAAGGGGCGGGGGCGGGGGGGAGGAGCAGCGGTGCAGCGGCAGGGGCACAGAGCCCGGGCCTCTTCCCCAGGAGGGCCCCTGCCCGATGCCAGGGCTGGGGTGACACGCAGCTGCCACCGGGCCGAGCAGGTGGCAGCACCGCCCTCTTCATGCTTGCTCGCCTCCTTTGATCAGAGCTCGAGCGTCTGATCAGAGCCCTTTCAGAGGTGCCTGGTGACAGGCTGGAAGGGAAGTGGGAAGTCTCGGGGGTGCCCCGCGACACCCGCGGGTCGATTTGCGCAGAACGAGGCAGGGCTGGGACCCTGCAGTAGCGGCGGGGACAAGCCTAGGAATGTGGGGGGCGGGCAGGAGGGCAGCAGGTACCCTTCCCTCCGAGTGTGGGGTGACCTGCATCTCGGCGACGGGTTTTCTGGGCCGGGGCCACCGCGAACCCCTCAGACGGGCTGGCTTCTGTCCCCGCCCACTCAGCAACGGGCCTTCTGAAAAAGGGAAGGCAGTTATGGGTACCCATGTGATGTCCTCTGCGCTCTAGATGACTTTTTCCATTTATTTTTTTTTTCAAGTCCAGCGTGGGGGAAACAATGATAAGTCACCCACGACTTTATTTAAATGTATCGTCAACATAATCACAGAAGTGAACGCGCGAGCCTTGCCGAACAGCTGGAAACCTAGAAGAGAACGAAGAGAAATTAGCCGGTCGCCCACTGCCCGCGTATACCCGCGGTCCATATTTTCCCGTGGCCCCTGCTCATGGCAGGCTAGAAAGCCTAGAAAAGGCTTTTTTCTAGAAAAGCCCGGTCGCCCCGGTTGGGATTCTTTGTACCATCCTCTTACCACTTAGCAATTCCCCTGGAACATCCTTCCCGTCAATAGATATGACTTAGCGGCCACATGGCGCCGTGTCGTGGGCATGGAGGTAGTGGCATTTATGAAGCAAGCCCCCCCACCCCCGCAGTGCATCTAGTTGCTCCCAATGTCTCAGGTGGCACAAACACGGCTGTGCATGGTTGGATGATTCACTGGCGATGGATTCTCTGGGTGGGGAGAGTCTTGGCTGATGCCCACCTGCAGGGGTGACACCCCTGGTTTCTGCGGGCTCATCATTCTGGGCAAGCACGAGACCCCTTGGGGCCGGGAGGCTCCCCCCCTCCCCTCCCCTCCCCTCCTACAGATGACCAGGACCCCTATGGGGGGAAGGAGGCAGGGTGGAAACGATTATTCCAGGGCCCCGTCAGATTCCCAGCCCCGGGGACACTTCGGTGCCACGGTCGCGATGGAAACCTCCCTGCTGTCTGGTTGGCCTGTGACCAATCGTGGGTTGCCAGGCACTGGGCAGGCCTGTTGCACTGTTGGTGCCGAGTTCATGGAAGGAGCAGCGGCTTTTTGACTTTCCACCCGGTTGGAACTGTTGACTGCTCCCCTGGGCCCTCGGAGAGTAAGTAGCGGGGTGAGGAGGACGGAGGGGGAGCGCGGGCAGCAGCCGCACTCAGGTGAACGTGACCTTGAGACGTGACCTGTTGCGATTGAGCAATTGTTTCTCGAGGAGCCACTTTTTCTCCATGGCCTGGTTTTTCTTCGCATCTAAGTGCACCTCTCGGTTTGGCCTGGCTGTAGATTTGTAGAGAGGTGGTTCCCATTCTCCCTCCCCGGCTCCCCCGAGGGGAGCGCCTTCGGTTACCCTGGCGCCTTGGTCCCCACGGAGGAACCGACTTTATGCTTCATTTAGAGTTCACTATTTTTTCCCCCCAAGTGTCATTTTTTCCCCCCAAGTGTCATTTTGTTCTGTCCCGGGAGCCCAGGTGACATCTGGTCTCATGTCTCCTTAGCCTCGGGACCCTTGATTTTTAGGATGGGAGGGAAGGAAACGAGCCAGAGGTCGTTGAGCGGTGGCCCTGCAGGGATGCTGGTGTCTGCACCCCAGCGACGGTCTCGGGCTACACCACAGGCCCATGCTCCATGTCCCCAGAGCCAGGCCCAGCGTGGCAACGTCGCTGGGACCTCAGACTCCAGAATGGGCACCTGCATGTCTGGGACGTGGCGGGGGAGCCACAGACAGCGTGGAAAGGACAGCGGTACCCAGGGGGACTTTCAAGCCCTCGCTCAGCAGTGTGGGTCAGGCAGCGAGCGGTTGGTGGCCTGGCTCCCCCAGAAGAGCGATGCAGACTCTCCCCCTCGGGGCACTTCCGGCTTTCTCTTCCCCTCCTTGGCTGGCACAGCTACCCTGGGTGATGTGCTCCCGCACAAGGACCTCCCCCCCTTCTTTCTGTCTGTGGAGCATTCTGTGGAGACCGTGGGGGGACCCAGACTGTCCCCAGGACTGCAGCCCCTCCACTTCCCTTCCACATGGGACCCCACGCATCTCCCTCCCCACTCTCGAGGGACGTTTGCAGAGGGTGGTCACCTGCTGGCCTCTTCTGCATTCCCTGGAGTCTGGAGGGCCCGGAACTGCACTTCCAGAGGTCCTGGGGGGGGGGGGGCTTTAGATGAATCTAGACAGAGCTGTGCCCGGGCTTGCCTGACACCCAAGGTAGCTGGAGTGCTCGTCTCCGGGGTGGGTGACAGGAAGGCTGCGGATGACACAGGCCCTTCCTCGGACACCTGCACTGGGGCCTCACCTTCCTTGGGCCCCTCCCTGCTGCCCCCAGTTGCCTCGAGCTCTCAGCTGCGGGGCTCCCTTTGTCCCCGGCTGCCCTGAGCCCAGCTGCACCTCTGGGCGTGTAACCGCTCAGGCTGCCACAGGTCCTGCTGCAGGAGCACCCCCAGCAGAGCGCCCCTGCCTTGAGGGCAGCATCCTGGCCTCCCCAGGGTCAAGTTCTCCCTGCTTTCGAGCTTTCCATCACCCTAAGCGCCAGCACCGAGACTCCTGGCCAGGTCCCCCTGAGGGCACGTATTCTTCTGGTAGCTTTGCTGCATCTCAGTCTCCAAAAAGCCGTTTTCTTCAAAAGCCCCCCATGTCTCTCCCACTCCTGGGGTAGTTCTGTAGGTCTATGTGCATACTGGCTCTGCCCCCTGGAATCTAAGTGTCCTGAAGGCAGGGACTTTGCCTCTGGCCTGCTGCTGAATCCTGGGCGCCTGGCACTTGCCTGATGCACAGTAGGTTCTCTGTAAATATTGAATGAGTGAGTGAATGAATGAGTGAGACACGGAGCAGCAAGGGGGTCTCTGGGGGGTGGAGCCCCTGCACCTGGCCTAGAAAGAAGGGGACACCCAGCCCCCCAGCTCACACTGTCTCCTCCCAGGAAAGATGGTCAGACTATATTAAAGTCAGAGCAAATGGCTCTGGATGGTTGCTCTGTAGGACGTGGTGAGGCGATGTCCAGCCCGGACACGGCCCTTGGGCAGGTCATGCTGCGTGTCTCCAGGAACCACAGGTGGCATCCAGTGTCGGGAGTGCCCGAAGCAGTGCTTGTGGCCGGCATCTCTGACTGTTGATCTCTTTCCCCCCAGCCCTGAATCGGTCCAGGGAGTTTGCCTCGAGACCTGGAGTCTGCCCGGAGGTGGGGTCAGAAGCACCTGTGTCACCATGCATGCTGGACATCGACTGCCCCGGGCTTTGGAAGTGCTGCCCCTCATCCCGGGGCCACCACTGCGTGGCTCCTGCTCCCCGAGGTAGGGTTGAAGCCCCGGTCTGAGTGAAGGTTGGGGCGGAGTGGGTTTCCAGAAGCAGCAGCAGCTCCGACTCACAGAGAGCCTGCAGCCGTGTGCATGGGCACGTTCCACTCCTGGGCAATGTCTTTGTCCGAATCTGGCCCCTGAAATCTCAGGGGGGCGGAGAGCTCCCAGGTGCCCTGAGGAAGGAAGAGAGTCTTGGAAGAGCAGGGACTCCAACCTCCCAAGTGTGCCCGGGGAAGCCCAGGGGCTCTGGCTGGTGCTGGTTGGAAGCCGAGCTGCGTCACAGCAGGGAGATGTGAAGTTGGTGACTGGTGGCCCTGCAGGACCACAGGGACCAAGGTCATTCTCAGGGCACGGGTTTGGCAGGTCTGTGGCCTGGCCCTCACGACATACCTGATAGGTCTGAAAAGTTCTGCTCTTTTTTTTTTTTTTAAAGATTTTATTTATTTATTCATGAGAGACAGAGAGAGAGGCAGAGACCCAGGCAGAGGGAGAAGCAGGCTCCATGCAGGGAGCCTGATTGATGTGGGACTCCGTCCCGGGACCCCAGGGTCACGCCCTGGGCCAAAAGCAGATGCTCAACCACTGAGCCACCCAGGTGCCCCTGAAAAGTTCTGCTCTTGACCGTGGGCTGCCCCCAGGAGAACGGGTCGGTCAAGGTTCAGAACTAGGGAAATATATGATAAATAATGTGTATATATCATATGGGATCTATGTCACAACGTTACAGCATCCGTAGAGTATATATCGTATTAATACAGGATGAAGTAACAGGATACACGGTGTAAAATATCACATTACGTATAATGTGAATCAATTATACTCCTACACTATATACATTATCGTCTAAGTTATTTATAACGTATCCAGTATTATCTAGGGATGGTATACACGGTAATATGCTGTACAGTGTATGTAGGGTTATATACTTTGGGGTGTAAGAGAAATGAGGGGTGTCCCATGCTGTCCCTGGTGGCAGATTTATGTGGGCCTCCGTGGGCCCCAGCCTGTCCTGGGCCTGTAGCTCATCAGGATGTGCCCTCGTGCAGCTCCAGAGAGGAACCCGGTGACCTTCTGGTACAATGTGACTGTCCTGGTGAAAATGGACTTCAAGTTGCTTAAGGAAGTGGACCCCCGACTCCTGGATCACATGCGGCTTCTGCACTCCATGGTAGGTGAGGCAGGGGGTGGCGGATGCGGGGAGCCTGGTCCGGCCTCCTTTCCAGGGCAGGTCCCCCAGGGCTGGTATAGGTGCAGACCCTGGGTGGGGATCCAGGGTGGGGGAAGTTCCACAAGTGACCCCAAAATGCCTGACTCTGAACCAAATGTGAATTCTTTTTTTTTTTTTTAATGATTTTTATTTATTCATGAGAGATGCAGAGAGAGGCAGAGACACAGGCAGAGGGAGAAGCAGGCTCCATGCAGGGAGCCCGATGTGGGACTCGATCCCAGGACCCCGGGGTCACAGCCTGAGCCAGTCAGACACTCAACCACCAAGCCACTGGTGTCCCCCAAATGTGAATTCTTAATTAAAAAAAAAAGACAGCTCTAAAGAGGTGTGATTTATGTGCAATAAAATGCACACCCGGCAGTATGCAGCTTGTTCTGAGGCAGAGGCGATGTCAGCTACCCCCTCACCGCTTAGAGCACGGAACCCTCGATCTTTTAGCTTAAATCAAAGCGTGCCCCAGTGTAGACGCCTCAGCTCCAGAGCTGTGCCCTCACTAACCTCACTCAAGGTCGCTGAGGTCCTCGCTCCCGCTCGGTGGAATTCTGCAGGCATCCTGGTAAGCGCTGGGCGGGGACGCGTCCATGAGGGTCCTCGGCCTGTCATCACAGGGTTCCCCCAGGGTCCTGCTTTCCACGCACATGAAGCCAGGAACACGTCCCACTGTGATAACCAAAAATGTGTCTAGATGTGGCTGCGCGTCCCCTGAGGGGTGACCCGGGTCCTGGTGAAGAGGCCCCCGTGGGGGGCACAGCTCGTCCTTGCTGCCACTTGCGGAGCCTCCTCACCGGGAACCCTCGCCCGCAGCTGCTGGCGCCACCGTCCTGGGAGCCTTGGGGTGGCCCGGGCACGGCTCCTGGTCACCGCAGGGCGGCTTTCCCAGGGTGACAGTCCCAGGTCAGGGTCACTTCCTGGGCGAGCGACCCGTGCAGCCGCCCTATGGATACAAGGGCCTCACCCTCGGCTTAATGCTCAGTTGCTGCCTCTTGAAATGTGCAATAATTTTTGAACAAGGGGCCCCACGTCTCCCTTCTGCATCGAGCCAGGCCCATGACGTGGCCGGTCCCACCTGACCTTTAGGGCCCATCGACACTCCCCATCTGTAGCTGGGGATCACGGTGTCGGTCACCGAATGGGGTCCCTTGCTGGTGTTTGGACCAGCCGGCAGGGGCAGCCCCAGGACGGATGGCACTCCCACTCACCTTGCTCTGGGCTGCCCACCTAGACAGCTATTCCAAGGCGTCACCTCCACCAGGAAGCCTCCTTAACTGTCCCAACTGCAAGTGATTTTTGTCTCTTTGTGGCTTCTTGAGGGGCTGGGGCAGCCCAGTTGGCCAGGGGAAGCCAGGCTGCTTGGCAAATCCCGACACTGCCACTCATCCCCGTGTGACCCTGGGCGAGTCACCTCTCTGTGCCTCAGTTACCTCCGGTAAATAGGAGTAATCCTCGTCTCACCTGGGACAGGGCTTTGAGGGCTCGGCAGTTCACGTCGCGAGCTTACAGCCGTGCTGACAATGCAGGTTCCCAGAGGCGGTCGTTGGTGTTTTATTTATTTATTTTTTTTTTTAAATTTTTTTTAATTTATGATAGTCACACACACACACACAGAGAGAGAGAGAGAGGCAGAGACACAGGCAGAGGGAGAAGCAGGCTCCATGCACTGGGAGCCCGACGTGGGATTCGATCCCGGGTCTCCAGGATCGCACCCTGGGCCAAAGGCAGGCGCCAAACCGCTGCGCCACCCAGGGATCCCGGTCGTTGGTGTTTTAAATATTACTGTCCCGGGTCACCCCTTTCCCTGTCGGGTGCTCCAGGCAGACTGTTACCACCCACAGGGGTCCTGTCTCCCATGGGTGACTCAGGGATCCCCACGTGGTGCCCTGTTCTGGCTCCCGCCTGACGAGCCCTGTGTCCCCCGTGAGGGCGTGTCAGGGCTGCTGGGGCGCCCCCCCCAAACCGCCCTTCTGCGCCCCCAGGGAGGCTTGGCTGGCAGGGCCTGCTCCCGTGCCACCCATCTTCCCGGCGATCGTGTGACCAACGTGGTCCTGGGGTCTGGAGGCCGGAGGACTGGGAAAGCAAACGTGCAGGAAATGAGGAAAGGGATCTTTAAGCCTCAAAAGCATGATGGGAAGCAAACCCAGGCGTGCCCAATAGGAGACTGTGCCTGACCCCATCTACGTCTACCTCCGGGTGAGGGGGACCCGGGGTCCTGGGGCGGCCCTGACGCAGCCCCACAGGCGGGAGGCTCGCACGGCGGCCCCTTCTGGAGGCCGCGAGTCTGGACGCAAGTGCAGGCAGGGCCACCCCAGCCGACAGCCGCAAGGGAAGGGTCCGTCCCAGGCCCCTGTCCCGGGCCTGTCATGTCTGTGTGTCCAGAGTTCTTTGTGGAAGGACAACGGTCGTCCCGGTCCCGGGCCCACCCCAGTGACCGCATCATAACTAACGACGTCTACAACGACCCTATGTCCAAACAAGGTCACATTCCGGCGTTCTGGGGTTAGGACTTCGACACGGGTTTTTTTTTTTTTTTTTTTTTTTTTTTGAGGGACCCCCGTTTAACACCCGACACCTGTCTGCAAAAGTATTTAGGATCTGGTTGGCAGGGCTTTTACCGGGATGATGACAGATAGAGAACCATTGCAGAAGGTCTTTTCTGCGGAGCGGGGCGGTGTGTGTGTGCACGCGCGTGTGCGCACAGTCTTTACTCCTCTGGGCTGCAGTCTCCCCGTCCGTGTGACGGGTGTCCGTCCACCGAGGGACGCTCTGACTCTGGCTTCGCAGGTCACCAGCGCCTTGCAGCCGCTGCGCCCCGCCGTCCACCCCGTGCAGTCAGCCAGCGGGGACGCCGCCACCACCGTGTCATGGCTGCTGCTGGGCCTGCCGCGGCTGGTGCCCGTGGCCACCGTCTCCGTCATGCTGGACGAGGTCGTGAAGCGCGTCTATGAAGTGATCAACATCCAGGTGCAAGGTACTGCTCCTTCCCTCCGTCCTCCCCTGTGTGGGGGGAATGGGGGGGGCTGCAGGACGGACGGTCCAGCGGGTGAGGGGAGGCCTGACCTTTCTTTAGCTCATTCTGGCCCAAACCAAGTTTAAACTCTGAGCTCCAAGGTGAAGGATTTTTTTTAATTTTTTTTATTTTTTAATTTTTTTAAATTTTTATTTATTTATGATAGTCACAGAGAGAGAGAGAGGCAGAGACACAGGCAGAGGGAGAAGCAGGCTCCATGCACCGGGAGCCCGACGTGGGATTCGATCCCGGGTCTCCAGGATCGCGCCCTGGGCCAAAGGCAGGCGCCAAACCGCTGCGCCACCCAGGGATCCCTGAAGGATTTTTTTTTAAAAAGAGATTTTATTTATTTATCTTAAAGCGAGCAGGTGCACGAGTGGGGGGAAGGGCAGAGGAGAGATTCTTTAGGCCGACTCCCCGCTGAGCGTGCAGCCTGACCTGGGGCTCGATCTCACGACCCCAAGATCATGACCTGAGCTGAAACCAAGAGTCGGACGCTTACGTGCCCCCAGAAGGGTTTGCACCGACATCGCCCTTCCCTTCGCTGGCCCCCTCGTGTCTCCTCCACACCCTTCCACCCAAGTGCTGGTGAGCAGGTCCCAGAACAACTGAACCGCAGCCTGTTTCTTCAGTTCTTGGCTCCCTGACCTTCCCTCTTGCCATTTCCCACCTTTGCCAAGGACACCCTTGGCCCTAGGAGGCCCGGTTAGTAGCACAGCCACAAAATTGTGCTAAACACACAGAAGTAGTCTTGTTTCTAGAAGAAATCACCTGGTCTCCTTCTTAGGGGTGGGAGTGGGGGGGTCTTTGCCGGGGGTCAGCAAACGTTTTCTGAAATGGGCCACACAGTAAATATTTTTGGCTGTGGGCTGCACGGCCTCTGTCTCAACAGCTCGGCTGTGCCCTTGTGGCCTGAGAGCAGCCGTGGATGGCGTGGGAGCGGAAGGCTGGGCTCCATCCGTGGAACGTTCTTGCCCATGGCGGGAGGCACCTGCTGCCTCCTGGGCTGAGGGACAGTCGGTCTCTCTTGCTGCTGGAGAGTCTGTGACCGCAAAGGTCATGCATAAAAAAAGGGTGTGCCAGGGTCTGGAGACCAGCTAAAGCTCTGGGGATTGCATGCCACTGCCTTCAAATCCGCAGCTGTTCCTGAAGACCAGACTGAGCCGTGCCAACAACCGAAGGGGCTGTCCTGTCTGTTCTGATGAGGCTCCCCCCCACCCCCACCCCGGTCAGAGACCATGAGAATGCACCAGTAGTGAGCAAGTCCAGTTTATGACTCAAGGCCATGAGAGAGACAGAGGGGGGGGGGGGAGAATGGACCAGCAGGGGAGCCCGGGCCATCTGGTGGGGGGTGTTGGAGAGTCTTACTGCAGGACTGTGTGGGGAGTCTAAGGAAGGGGGCCTCTATTCCAGGTTAGACACCCCAGTGAGCATGTGCAATGCTGAGACTGGGTGTCTCGGTAATCTCGTCTAGAAGGAGGGGGAGGCTAGCACGAGGAGAAGCCATAGCTGGTGAAGAGCTAAGTCTCTCATTTCAGCCAGGACGGGGGGTGCTGCTTTGCAGGTGACTCGGTGTCTGTGTTTCCTGCCTGGCCTGGGTAGGTTTGTGACGTGGCCTTGCTTTGTCCCCCTTCATCCCGGTTGCGGAGCAGCCTTGTCTGGGCTGGGGTTCTGCTAGACCATCCGGCTGGCGGGAGAGTGACAGGTCTCTTCTGAACGCCAAGGGGCGGCTCCATTCTCTTTCTGGTCCAGAAGACTGCCCGTCCACAGGCTCTATTCCTAGGCAGGAGTTTCGGACCTCCTCATTTCATGACCCTTCAGACTCGGCACAGCCCCTAAGCAGTTCTTGCTGGTAGCAGCAGCCAACCCCTGCCACTGCTGCCAGGTGCCCATGGTGCGGCAAGGTGAGCACGCCACGTGTCTGGGACTTGGGCCATCTGCGTGGATGAAGGCGCCCGGCCGGCCCAGGGGCTCTCTGAGACAGAAGTTACCCTGGGATCACTGCCCAAGCCACTTCTTCAGCCCTTGGGACACCAGCCTGGAGGTTAATGGGAATGACCAGGTGCTTAGGGCTGTGACGAGTGTCTCACCCACTCCTCTTGTCAATAGATGTTGGCGAATGCTTCCTGGATGATCTCAGTGCCTGCTCCGGAGGGGAGCAGTGTTTGCACATGGAGGGCTCATCCCAGTGCACCTGCCACCCCGAGCTGCCGGCCTTGACTCCCCAGAAGCTGAACCGCACATGTGGAGGTGAGTGATTGGGGCCCCCCTGGTGGGGGAGGCATGGCTGAGGGAACCTTCTCAGCCTAAATGGTCCACAGGCCATCGTGTCTTGCAAAGAGGGTGTTACAGGCTCATGTTCAGAGGAGAGTCATTTCCAGCATCCTGGATCCCCTAGTGGGCTGTTCTTGGGTTCGTCCTTGGGGTTAGTGAATATTTATGTGCCGTCCACCGTGCTGGATGCAGGTAATAGAAACACGTGCAAATAGGTTACAACTTTTGCTCTTGGGAAACTCAGTAGAGAACACAACAGACGCTTGCCAGGCGTGACGTGCAAGGAAGATGCCTGTATAGCTCACTGCTTATGTCTGGACCCTTCCGAGAGTGAAGGGGATGTGATCAATACTTACACCAGGACCACAGTAGTGACCTGGTCTGTCCCTGTGATCCCACAGTCAACCTAGACGACACCGACGAGCAAGAGCCTGGCTCTGGCCCAGGTGGGTCAGGGGAGGTGACAGGTGTATACCGGGTGTGGGGGGTGTGCGTGTGATGGGCTTCTACTGAGCAGTGGCTGCGTTGTGAAAGTGCTGCAGCGTGGGTCTGCGGGGGGCTGGAGTCTGGGGGCCGGAGGGCGGTGTGGAGGGGTGGAATCAAGGCATCCGTTGGAGATGAGAGCCCTGGGGACTTACTGATCAATTCGATGCAGGAGAGGAAGAGGGGGAAGGGGCAGCTCGCCCCCGTCCTGGTTGAACCGCGAATATGTGGTGATTCGCGGGTGAGTCAGGGCTGGTGAGGGTGGTTAGCCTCGTCTTGGATGATAGTAGTTTAAACTGAGGTGGAGGTGGAATCGAGGGTCCGTGCCAGGTGCAGACCAAGTTGGACATTTGGTGCTGGAGCCCCGAGAGGGCTGCGCTACACGCCTAACTCGGGGGGTGTCTGCATCCCAGGGTGGCACTTGGACTACGGGCTTGACTGGGAGAAGGGCGGGGGCCTTGGCTGGGACTCCGTGCAGGTTGGGGTGCTGACGAATTGCCGGGCGAGGCAGGAAGCATGGCAGGAAAGAGCATCCAGCGGTCAAGGAGGAACCATCCTTCTCAGACGTGAACCCCAAGGAGGCTCAGGAGAATGAGGCTGAGCCCCAGGAGGCCTGGACCCCCGGGAGGGCCTTTTGCAAAGACGGGAGTTGCCAAAGCACATTCGTGTGCTGGCGGTCCTCCGAGAGGCTGCCCTTGGAAAGTCCTCTCCGCCTCCCCCATGTCCCCCCCGCCCCAGCTGGGGATGATGGTCGCCTGCAGTTGTTGGGGTGTACGGCTCAGCCTGCAGGGCTGCCTGTCTGTAGGCAGCCGGGCCGCGGGTGCAGCTGGGATGCTGAGTGGAAGATGAGCAGTTGATGGAGGGAGCAGTGAGGGTCAGGTTAGCCTTCATTCATTCATTCATTCATTCGTGCATCCATTCCCATATACAACACACTTTAATGAGTATCTGCTATGTTCCTCGGTGTCCAGGAGCCCTTGCTCCCTTGGTTCCCATTTCAGTGAGGAAGAGGACGCACATGTGGGCAAACACCAAATGTGGGGCAGCGGTTCAGGTGCAAGACAAAGGAGAGTGATGGGCTGGGGGTGTGGCCTCAGAGGTGGTGACTAGGGGAGGCCCCGGGACATGGTGACCTTTGGGTGGAGACCAGAGTACAGTCTTGTCTGAATAACACGCCCCGCAGCGGCCCACCTGCTAACCCAGGGCCTGTGGTTGTCCCTCACGAGGCAGAAGGCACTTTGCGGATGGGATTAGCCAAGGGGCCTGAGCTGGGGGGACAGTGGTGGCTTATTTGAGGGGAGCGGAGGGGGCACAGGCTCTGGGCAGGGCTTTGAAGGTGAAGGGACCACCGGCCACAGAGACTGTGCAGGGCAGAGCCTGAATTCTCCCCAGAAGTCTCCAGAAGGAGCACAGGCCTGCCCACACCTGCATCTTCAACCTCTCACATCCAGAGCCCTAAGAGTGAATTTCTCTTGTTTTGGGGTCATTGGTTACAGAAGCTTCGGAAACTCGCACACAGAGTGAGGTCAGGCCCCAGCAGAGGCGCGTGCGTGATGGGGTCCAGAAGCCAGGAGGCGGTGGGGACGGCATGGCGAGGAGGGGGTTGGGGGTTGGGGACAGGGGGCAGGGCCAGACACAACCCGCCCGGCGCAGGGGGGATAAGGCCACGGGGATTCTTAAGTCTTTATTCCGGAAACTTGTAGACAGATCGAAGCCTAGAGAGGAGTGTGATAAAGGTCCGCTGACCCCCTGGGGACCCCTTTTGCTCCATCTCTGTCCCTATCTGCTGCCCGCCCCCTGCCCCATCCTTCTGAACCCCCTTCAATGTATCACCCCATCTGTCACACTCCAGGATGTGACTCTAGGAGATGAGAGAGAGAGATTTTAAAAAACCCGAGTATCAGATCATATCATCCCTTAAAAACCCCAAACCACAGTTCCTTAAACTCATCAAACATCCAGTCATTTGAAATCTCTCATTTTCCCATCATCATCCTAAGTTTTTGACAGTTTGTTTGAGTTGAAATCTGGGGTTTCCCTACACCTCTCTGGTTCTCCTTGTAATGGCTGGAGGAGTTGGTGCCCCTTCGCCCAGTGGGGTTTCCCATAAGCTGGGATCTGCCTATGGGCATCCAGGGGCCCTAATACCTGCATCCAGGGGCCCTAATACCTGTCCCCATTCTCTGGATTTTCTAACCCACAGTTAGCTCTTCCTTTAATGGGGCTGGATCCTACGCATCTGATGAAGCCAATGGATCCCTTCACAAAATGTTCCCAAGTGCATCAAGTATATGGGACGACAGAGCAATTTGACCATATCAAGACACAGTTATCAAAATCTCATGGCCCCAAATGGTGACACAACCATCCAAAGCCACACTGTCCCCTCCCATCCCTTCGGTCAACTGTCCATTGCTGACATGGCTGCTCTGTCTGCCTGTCAGAAGCCTTCAGAGAAGGGCATGCAGGTGGCATCATGTCCCAGAGACTCCTGCTGGAACCAGGTCCAGTTGCCTACTCCGGCACCATCTTCATAGAAGGTCTTTCCCTGTCACCTTCCTTTCCCTGTGCGCCTCCCGTTAGTGGCCCCAATTTCCCAGAGTACCTGCTTGCAAGCCCTCGTCTCAGTCCTCGCCTGTTTCTGGAGAGCCCAACCTGAGTTTGTACACTATGCACATCTTCACGCATTGATTAAATCATGCAGTTCAGCAGTTGGAGTGATGAGCACAGATGATGCTCAGAGGGGTGCCACATCGTCCTGTGATACGGGACTTCTGTGGTTTCCGCCGGTACCCGGGTCACGAATGAAGCAAAGGTTACATTATATTAGATGTGCATGAAAATAAAGATTCTTCTTCTCATCTATATGCGTGGACCCCTGACGTCTGCCTCTGGTCTCCATCCAGGTTAATAACCCCTAACGCAGAGGCACCTTCAGATTCAGATTCAGATCTGGCCTTTTTTTTTTTGTCAAGGCTCCTTCGTACGCCATAGGTTGCACGTCCTATTTTTCCACAATACGGTGTTGTCTCTGCTCCTGTGGCCTTCGTGGCAGGAGATGAGCAAGCAGGGCTTTGGTGGGACTGCGCTCTGAGTAAGACAGGGCTCTGGAGGGCACACGGGATGACCTGACGCACCTGTGCTCAGGTGTGCTCTGCTGCTGGGTGGAGAACGGACCAGAGGACCAAATCCCATCTCTCCTTCCTTGGTGATGGAATGTGGAGTTTTCTGTGAAGATGTGCCCAGCTGCAAAGGTTATGTTTCTCTCCCTCTTTGCAGGTAGGGTGGCCGTGGGACTCACCTTAGCCGGTGAGATATAGTGGACGCTTCCATGGGAGGTGAGAAGACTGCGTGAGGGTGCTGGCCCTGCTGAGATCAGGGTGGGCACGGCGCTACGATGGCCAAGGCCCGATCACCATCCAAGCCCCATGGTGGCCTTGAGGTTAGACCCTAGGGATGGAGGAACAAAGAGCAGAGAAGGAGCTAGGCCCCAGGTGCCATAGATGTTCTCCATGTGAGGGGTTCACGTGTGGGGTCCGGCCTGCTCCATGTGCAGCAGCTGATCCCACTCTGAGTTGGGGCAGGGCACAAAGCAGGGAGGCAGCAGTTCAGGCAGGGTGCCCGGAGCAGTGGCTGGTGATGGGACAGTGGGCGTGGTGGGGACAGGCACCGGCAGGACAGCAGGGCATGAACATGTTGGGCAGGAGAGGAGGCGTGGACGGCCTCGGCACCTGCTCTCCAGTGGCCCGGCCGAGATGCAGAGACAGCCCACTCCTTGTGGCCACGAAAACTTGGTCTTGTCATTCTGGAACCTGGTTTATTACTCTAACAACTTCTACCGACAGAGGAAGGTGAATGCCCGTCCTAGTGCCCCCAGAAGACTGTTTTTATTTTTGCTAAGTATTTATTTATTTATTTATTTATTTATTTATTTATTTATTTATGCTAGGTTTTTTTTTAATATGCTAGGTTTTTAAATGTTATTTAAATCCTGCTACCAATACAACTTTGCATCCTGCTTTCTTTACTCGCCATTATGTCACATAAAGTTTTCTGTGGGAGCGAATTGGGCTTCATGATAAGGATTTCCGATGGTTGAGTCATAGAGTGGCCCCCCTCAGAGGCAGGCTTGCTTTTCGTGGGGTCACTCACCTGCGGTCAACCGCGTCCTGGAAGCAGATGATCCTGCTTCTGATGTGCGGTCCGGATGTCGACAGTAGCCTAACGCTGTGTCACAGCGGCGCCTCACCTTGTCACATCGGTATTTTTGTTATCTCCTGTCATCATAAGAAGGGTGAGGACAGCGCAATAAGATATTTTGGAGAGAGAGAGAGAGAGAGAGAGACCACATTCACGTAACTTGCATTACAGTGTATTGTTAGAATTGTTCTTTTATTATCAGTTGCCGTTGCTAATCTCTTACTGTGCCTGGTTTAGAAGTTAAATTTTATCTTAGGAATCTATGTGGGGAAACACATGATGTATGAGGGTGTGGTGCTCTCCGTGGCTCGGGCATCTGCTGGGGGCCTTGCGATGTATCCCCCCACGGGTAAGGGCGACCTCTGTCATGACCGGCTACGGCAATGATACGATGCTCTTAGCTACTTTTCTCAAGGGATGGGGGCAGTTAGCTTGCTCCCAACATTTTGCCATGAAAACTAGAACTTTCACTAACATTGTGAAGTGGTTATAGAGCTTATTGTTTTTTTTAATTTTTTTAAAAAATTTATTCATGATAGACATAGAGAGAGAGAGAGGCAGACACACAGGAGGAGGGAGAAGCAGGCTCCATGCCAGGAGCCCGACGTGGGATGCGATCCTGGGACTCCAGGATCGCACCCTGGGCCAAAGGCAGGCGCCAAACCGCTGAGCCACCCAGGGATCCCTATAGAGCTTATTGTTATCACTGAGTGTGAACTAGATGTTTATAAGGGGACAGACCGGCGAGGACCCTCCCTTTGTTCGTAACAATAACACAGCCAAGAGCCGCTCAGCACTTAACTCTCCTGGGCTTTGAATGAGCAGTTTACAGTCTCACCTTATTTAACCCTTAGAACACCCCCAGGATGGGGAGCCCCTGGGTGGCTCAGTGGTTGAGCATCTGCCTTCGAGCCCAGGGTCCCACCCGCATCGGGCTCCCCACAGGGAGCTTGCCTCTCCCTCGGCCTGTGTCTCTGCCTGTGAATAATAAATAAAATCTCAAAATCTCAAAAAAAGAAAAAAACCAAAACAAAACAAAACGCCCCCAGGAGGCATCTGCCCTTACTGTGCTCATTTTCAAAAGAGAAAGTCCCAAGTAAAGGAAGGTCACCAGTCGGTACGAGGTCCCCAAGCTGATTCTATGAGACAGCCCGGTCCCTGTCCATCACCGGAGGTGACCTTTCCCAGCCTCCTCTGGCTGGAGGGCGCCTCCGATTCTGGATTATCTGTTCCTGATCCAGAGCTGGCGCGGGGCCTCCTGCGGGGACTCCCCTGTGGCCATGCCCCTTCTTTCCCACATCCGTGTGCCGGGCTGGGGGTTGACCAGTGCTCTGGAGCAGTGGGGCTTTCTCTTTGCTGGTGCAGAGCGTGACGGGGGTGACGATATCAGGTTCTTATTCGCTGCCTCTTCCCGCTGATGGGGTGGAGGCTGTGAGCTGATGCTGGGACGTGCGGGCTGATCCCCAGCGTCCCTTGAGGAATGGGAGGTGTCCAGGGTCCGTCCTCTCCCACTGGAATCTTCCATCTCACAGCAGATGAAGCTCCTTGGAGGAAGGAGGCTTGTCTCCTGGTCTCTGCCAATGAGTCTCTGTACTTGGCAAACAGCAGGCACTCAAAACGGTATCTATTGTCAATGCATGAAAAGGCATGTTTGAGGGTCCCTGAATGTTGAAGAAATGCACCTGCCAGCCCAACTTCTGGTAACAAAACACTCCTCTGTTGTGCTTCATGACACTGGAGTCGGACCAGACACCAGCACCACCCTCCACGCACAAATGTGCCCACAGAGCTTCGCAGAGAACCCCCCGCCAACCATCCTACCTCTCCTGTCCCGTGGCCTCCGGGGGAGAGTCCTGTCCCATCAGCGAGCGTGGAAAGTGGGAATACAGTACTTGAGAACACTCAGGCGAGCAATCTGATATGCTATCAGGCTCTATTTACAGTTAGGGACGTTGCCAGCCACACCGCGCCATGCTACTCGAAGTCACGAGTTGCAAGTTTCCTTCAAGATAAAGGGTCTCTCGAGGGCGAAACATCACTAGGAAAAGCTGCACCCTGTCCTCCCCCACCGCCCTCACTTCTCTTAGGCAGAAAAGACCAGCGAAGTTTCCAGATCAGAATGTCAGAGAGGATACCAGCCGCGCCGCGCTAAGGGGAGCAGCATGTGTTTTACATTTAGAGGCTAATGTACATGAGCAATCTGCTGGAACGGTCGAGAGGTACAGAACCCGTGGAAAATACAGCGCAAGTTTCAGATGCTTTTCTTGTGAAATTAGTCATCCGCTTAGCGACATGCAGGGCAGCTGGATTCTTGCACAAAACAAAAGCCGTCAGAAATACCTCACGGTTCCCGCTTGCTCTTCCAGGAACACGGTCTGCTTTTAGCATCAGGTGGAACTGTATTCGAGGTCACCCTCTCTCCCTCCGACGCGGTCTCCCTCCCAGCTGGGACCTAATAGCCACTGGCCTCATCTCCTGAGCCTGGGGGTGGGCGAGGGCAGGGCCGTGGGCGGTCGGGGCGGTCGGGGTGGGTGAGACGCGGCCGTGCAGCTTTGCCCATGCTGGCGCTCCTCACCCGCCGTCAGGCTTCTGAACACGGGGTGCTCCGGATCTATGGCGGGAGTCCTCGGCATCTCTACCTTTATAAGGTTCAGGTGCCACGCTGACGGGTCCGGAGCAGAGGCTGAGCTGAGAGATCATGGGAGAGGCAGGACGCCCAGGAGCACCCGAACTGCTTCGCCAGAGACGGGTCAGGGTTGCCCGGAGCAAACGAGGGCCCAGACCCGTGGACACAGGGAATGTGATGCGTGTCACCCAGACCAGTGTCAGGTCCTGGATCTGGTTCACGGCCACAGGATGGGGGAAGGCCTCAGGCAGCGGTGCCCTCAGATCATGCAGGCGTCCTGCATCCCGAACATTCTTTTCCGGGACCACATTTTAAGAGGAGTGTCCTAGCGGGCAACGAGAAGGCGTCCTGCAACCGGAGGATGCAAATCAGCGTCACAGGAGGACAGAGGGAAGGAGTAGAAGGGCGATTTGCATTGAAAACGTCTCCGGGCCTGTCCCGCAGAGGTGGATCCGCCTTGGAACGTTAGAGGGCGGCTGATGGGCAGCATCGGAAAGACCTCGCGACATGTGGCACCGTCCCACAAGTAGCTGCCCCGAAAACTAGTTGGAGAAGGGCCCAGTTCCCGGAGCGCAGACCAGGCGCCGAGAAGCACAGCACCTGACCCTGTCACAGCTCTGCAGGGCACACATCCCGAGTGAGGGGTCCCGGGCCCACGGAGGCGGCGGCAGGTGTCCCTCCGGAGGTCCCGGGGGAATCCGTGTCGCGCAGGTGCATCCTTGACGGTGTGATCTCGATTCCCGTGGACACACGTCCAGTGGTGGGATTGCTGGATGCGACGGTCACCCTAGTTTTAACATTTGGAGGAGCCTCCACACTGTTTCGAGAGCGGCTGCACCGCATTCCCGCCAGCGCCTTATCTCCCGTGGTGTTGATGTCAGCCGTTCCGACAGGTGTGCGGGGACACCTCCCTGATGACCAGTGACGGCGAGTGCCTTTTCGTGTGTCTGCTGGCCACCTGGATGTCTTCTTCAGAGAAATGTCTGTTCAGATCCTTTGCCCATATTCTAATTGGATCGTGTGTGTGTGTGTGTGTGTGTGTGTGCGCGCGCGCACGCGTGTGATTGCTATGGAGTCGGATGAGCTCTTTACACATCTTGAATATTAGCCCCTTACCAGATATTTGATTTGTGACTATTTTCTCCCGTTCCGCAGCTTGTCCTTTCCTTTTGCGGATGGTTTCCCTCGACGCCGAAGTGTTTTTGTTTGAGTTTGCTGTGGGCCCACGGAGGGATGTTGCTTTGGTTGCTTGTCTCTGGTGTCTCCGACCTCATTCACCCTGTGCCTCCACAGACTGCCCTCCCATCCTGGACTATGTGACCCTCAACGTCACCAGCAGCAGCTTTCGGGTGTCCTGGCGTTTGAATTCTTCCCGGCTCCGGACTTTCCACGTGCAGGTCTACAAGGGGGAGGAGCTCCTCCAGAGCGCCAGCACCGCGGGGAGGACGCTGGAGGTGGCGGGGCTGGAGGCCGGAGAGCTGTATGGGGTGAAGACCAGCTACCAGGCATGCGGGGGCAATGTCACCGCCACGCTGACCGTCAGAACAGGTAAGGGCACCCACACACGCCCTGCGTCTTACCTGAGGGTCTGCGGCTCCACCTCTGCTGGCCCCGAGATTCCCATCCTCTTTCACCCTCTTCTCAGGGCAGGGGCAGTCCTTCCCGGAGGGGCTGTGGGGGCTCCGTGTCCTCTGAGCGGTGCCACGGTGGCCGTCTGTGGTCTCCACGGCTCCTTTCACGCCGATACATCTCGTCCTGTTCCGCGGGGGGTGCGGGGGCCCATGCTCACACCTGAGGTGACGAGGTGAGGAGCCCACCTTCCCAGTTTGAAGGCCTTTGCAGTCTGAGAGGGCAGAGCAAACAGTGTGATTAAGCAAAAACGGCAGCGATGGGCATGCCCTGAAAGGCCTTTTTGCAGCACCGAATTCACAGGACTGCGTCTATGTGTTCCCCGAACCGGAGCCGAGCATCACGGGGCATCCTCCCGGACCTGCTTCATTTCCCGCATGAGGCCCTTAAAAAGCTAACGCGGTGCCCCCTAGATCGGCCTGTGAAGATGCTTTCTTTCACCCAAACAGGTTGTAGGTGTGAACCAGGGATTCAGCTCTGGAGAGGGTGGCTAGTGTGGCCGGGCGGTGGGGGGGTGGGGATGGGGCTCCGCAGGTGGCCGACCTCACCGCCCCTCCCCATGACTGCATCTCCTCCCTGCCTGGCCCTGTTGTACCTGGGTGGGGACAGAGGAGCTCCCAGGCCGGTCTGGGGACAGAGCACAGAAATCGCTGCGTGGGAGGCCTTGTGCGGAGATGAGGGCCAGTGCCAGGGACCGGGGCAGTGAACGAATGAGGGATGGAATGAACAGGCCTTTGAGGACACGGTCCTGCAGCCTTTGGGCGCCAATTTGGGGCCGGCCCTTGCTGAATTGTCACAACACATAGAATGGGCACGCAGCGGCCCCCCCCTCACCCCCGGAGCCGCAGCCACGAAATGGGCCCACCTTGGCACACGAGGCTTCCGACTTCAGAGCAGGACCCACGTCATCTTCTCATTCTAGGGTCCAAGTACTGCCGGGAGTAAGTGAGGGAGCACTCGGTTCCCTAGGTCCTCGGGGAGTGAGGGCAGACCCCAGCTCTCCCCATCCCCTGCTTCTGCTGACCCTCCCTCTGCTCCCTCCCCAACTCCTCTCCCATGGGACATTCTGAGCATGTCTAGATGGGCACGGGGGGTGGGGGGTGGGGGGGGGCTCAGCAACCCGTGCCCTCAGGAAAGTTCCAGAAGACTCCTGAACCACCAGCCTCTTCTCTCCTTCTCCATGTTGTAAAAATGCCTGTTGTGAGCACGCTGCTCTCTTAAGGAGCTTGGTTCACGTTAAAGGCTCTATCGAGGTAATTCGGCGTTAGGAGGCGGTGGGCCTTCCGGTCACAGTGGCTGCAGAGCCTCACAGAGAGTCTGGATTTCAGAGGCGCAGGTGGACACTGACCCCCCCTTCCCAGGAGGCTCTCGTTGTGGGCGGGGTCGAGGCTGACATCACAGGGACACTTGGTGCCCCGAAGACGGGAGAAGGGCCAGAGAGGCCCTGATCTAGAAATGCACGGGGTACAACCCGGTGACTGTTCCGCAGCCCTCGTGGCGCGTGCACCCAGCAGGGATAAAGGGCACATCTGGCCCACGGCCGTTAGGTCGTCAGAGAAGCACACGGAGACGCAGCAGGGCCTGCTTGGATGTTGGTTTTACACTCGGCGATGAAAGAGACACGCGCTCCCCGTCCCATCCTACCTCTCCCGGCTTTGCTTATGGCCAAAGAGAAGGGGTGCCTCCCTTGCCGGGCGACCGCCCCTCCCGATTTGCCGGGGACAGTCGGTTCCTGGGATGGGACTCTGGGTGCCCACGCTTGGAAAGTCCTGGGCGGACAGGTGCATTGGGTACCGGGGCCTGGTGGCATCTGGCGTGAGGACCCGTCCGGCTGTGTGCATGGACGACGCGGGAAAGCCGCAGCCACGCGGGGTGAGGGATGGCATGAGGGGCCTGCGGACCATACATGTGCCGGCTGAGTCCCGGTTCCCGCCGGCGGGGGCCACGTGTGACATCTGCTCCTGTCCCGCCCGTCCCTGCCCTGGCGGTAGAAGCGTGTGTGTGTGTGTGTGTGTGTGTGTGTGTGTGTGGCCGCTCCTTCCTCCGGCGCGGAGGTAAAGCGCCCTCCTATCTGCGTCCCCCGCCGCAGCTCCCCGATCCAGGACTCCTCCCTCCATCTATCAGCAAACACACGTCCCCTCAGAAGAGGAGACTTTCTGGGGAACAGTGACAGCAAGGCGTGTGTGACGGTTCATCACCGATTTTGGCCAATTTGCGTTATCGCTGTTGCAGATGCCCGCGTGTTCGGAGTCACTGTCAGGGTCCTGGACCACAACGTGACGGAGGAGCTGCTCAACCCCGGCAGCCCCGAGTACCAGGACTTTTCCCGACTGCTGCTCCACGAGGTAAAGCCGAAGCGCAGACACGGTGCCCGGGGCGGGGGGGGGGGGGCAGGTGGAGGGGTGTCCAAGCCAGACACCCGTGCGCGCCAGCCCCTTCTCTGCGACTGTGCACGAGCACGCGTCACCCCAGTCCAGATCCTGGGCACTGATTACCCAAGCGCTGCCCCTTAGGGGGGCTCCCCTTAAATCTGGATACAGGGCCAAACGGTCTGTGAAAACCACACTCTGGTTCAAGCGCGCCCCTCATGGTGCAGCCAGGTTTTCTGCGGAACTTTCCATCCAGGTAGCCTGGGGCATCTGTCTCCCTGCTTTAGTGCTGGGGCTTCACTGCGGGGGGGGGGGGCATTTACCAGGGGTCACGGCATCCACCCTCCCCGTGGCTAATGAGGGGGCAGCAGTATGCAGCCCAGGGGAACCAGGCCAGCGGCCAGGGCTGTCTCCCCTTGGGTGACAGATGAACCTGGAACCCAAGTGACTTGCTAAACCACCGAGAACCATGAATGGCCTAAGATTTTATCCTGCCCTCAAACTGATAAGTTCACCTGTTCCTGTCATGGGGCGCTGGCGGGAGATGTGGGATTCTGGGGTCAGTGACGGAGGACTGTCTGCTGCACAGCTGACAGGCAGCATGGGCACCATTGCTGACAGTTCCCTCTGGCCTGCAAGTCCCACAAGGGAGGGGGGAGTGGGGGGCCCGGGTGGGTGGGACACACACACACAGTGCGTCTGTGTCACGGCCGAGGAGCCCCGAACTTAGGGAAACCGGATCTTGCAAAGGGCCAAAAGCAAATCAGCCTAGATGTGGTTCCAGAAAGGGACACTATCTTCATGCTGGGAGACGGGGACAAATCTGCCCTCTCCTGAGGCTGTTCACCCTATAAATGTCTTGGAAGGAGGTTCTGGAGCAAAAGGGCTGTTAGTGCTTCTGGTTGCAAAATGTATAGACACGGGACAGATGGAATGTCCACACCAGGGGTGTTGACACGGGACAGGTCGAAGCAGAGGTATAGACATGGGACAAGTTGAAGGGGGGGTGTAGACATGGGACAGGTCGAAGGTGAGGTGTAGACACGGGACAGGTCGAAGGAGGGTTGTAGGCACGGGATAGGTCGAAGGAGGGGTGTAGACATGGGACAGGTCGAAGGGGGGGTGTAGACACGGGACAGGTCGAAGGAGGGGTGTAGACATGGGACAGGTCGAAGGGGGGGTGTAGGCACGGGACAGGTCAAAGGTAGGGTATAGCCACGGGACAGGTAGAAGGCGGGGTGTCGGGGTGTAGACATAGGAAAAGTCGAAGGAGGGGTGTAGACACGGGACAGGTCGATGGGGGGTGTAGACACGGGACAGGTAGAAGGCGGGGTGTAGATATGGGAAAAGTCAAAGGTGAGGTGTAGCCACGGGACAGGTCGAAGGAGGGTGTAGGCACGGGATAGGTTGAAGGAGGGGTGTAGACACGGGACAGGTCGAAGGAGGGGTGTAGACACGGGACAGGTCGAAGGGGGGGTGTAGGCACGGGACAGGTCAAGGAGGCGTGTAGACAGGGACAGGTCGAAGGGGGGGTGTAGGCACGGGACAGGTCAAAGGAAGGTGTAGACATGGGACCGGTCGAAGGGGGGGTGTAGGCACGGGACAGGTCAAAGGAGGGTGTAGACACGGGACCGGTCGAAGGGGGGGTGTAGACATGGGACAGGTAGAAGGCAGGGTGTAGACATGGGACAGATCGAAGGAGGGGTGTAGACATGAGACAGGTCGAAGGAGGGTGTAGACACGGGACAGGTCGAAGGCAGGGTGTAGACACAGGACAGGTAGAAGGCGGGGTGTAGACACGGGACAGGTAAAAGGCGGGGTGTAGACACGGGACAGGTCGAAGGAGGGGTGTAGACATGGGACAGGTAGAAGGAGGGGTGTAGACATGGGACAGATGGAAGGAAGGAGGGTGTCCGTGCTCATTCACGTGCCCGGTGATTCTCGCGTGTGTGCGGGGCATGGTGTGTGGGGGGGCGTGGTGTGTGTGGCCTCCCTCTCTCGGCATGCTGGCCCTGCACACCGGTGGCCCCGGTGTTTCCGGGGGGGATACAGCCCGTGAGGGGCGCAGCTGCAAGTAGCCACTACATCTCTCCATCTGTCTCACACACTCGTCGCCTGCACACCGATTTCCAGGGCACACAGTGTTTTGTGCGTCTTGTGCTCCGTGACGGGGAGCCCAACTGTCGTGGTGCCCGTGGATTCTCACAATTGTAGTGGGGACCGTGGCTGTCCCTGGGGAGGCCCTGGGAGAGGTGCGGGGGGCCAGGTGCTCCTGTCTCTTCTTGGCCCCTAGAGGCTGGTCGCTGGACACCTCCTCTTGGTCACCAAGGGGACACATTCTGTGCACCATTTTGGGGGGTCACACGGGCCCTGCCCCATGGTTTTGAAGCATCTGCTCTGAGTGGCCGTTGCCTCTTCTCCGCTAGGTTGCAAACGCCTTCCCGCCAGCGCTGTCCGACCTGTACAGGAGAGGCAAGCTGAAGGTGCGCATCGTGTCTCTCCAGGCCGGAAGCGTGGTGGTGACGCTCAGGCTGCTGCTTCAGGACCCTGAGTTCCCAGTGGGACTCTCCACGCTGGCGCCCATGCTCCCGCCTCTGTGGGCGAGCCGGGTGTTCCGGATCGACCCGCGGGGCACACGCGTGCAAGGTCGGTTCTCCTCTATACCCGAGCCCACTGCCGCCAGGCCCCTCAGCGGCCGGGCCACGCGATTTCAGGTCCACGCGTATTTATCGTGAAAGATCGATCAAGCGCATGAAATTCGAATCCTTATTCTGTGTTCCTGCGTGGGGGCCCACCTGCATCCCACGCTTCTTGCTCCAGTGGGAGAGGGACCCCAGAGCCCGGGGAGCTCACTCCTGCAGGTGGCCCAGAACACGAGGTGGGACGGGGCTGGAGGACCCGGGAGGGGAAGGGCCCTGGGGGCCGCTGTCCCCTGCGCCACCTGCCAACCGGCCTCTAGTTCCTTGGCCTGAATGTTATGTAATTTCACTTCATGTTGCCTTGAGGCAGGAAGTCGTAGATCAGGGGAGGGGGAGACACCTCGGGACAGACGAGGAGGGTGGTGGGGAGACGGAGAGGAGAGAGACTGTCAGATGTAGAGGTAGAGAAGAGAGAGACAGAGACACAGAGATAAAGAAACGGGGATACAGACGTAGGGAGAGACAGAGCTAGACAGGGAGACAGGAAGACAGAGATAGAGACAGAGATAGGGAGAGAGCAGAGAACAGGCTGATGTGTGAGGCAGGTTTTGCCGCTCAAGCCGGGGGGGGGGGGGGGGATGACATTCCCCGGCGGGGGGTCCTCAGTTGCTCCCTCAGTTCCACCCAAGGCCAGACCCGAGCATCCCTCAGGGGAGCCAGCGGCCCCGAGTGCTGCTTCCCGGTCCCGGCCCTGTGCACCAGGCGTTGGGTTACTCTTGCTCCTTGCCCGCGGGTTGAAGGGGTGACCTCCCCACCCCCCCGAAGAAATGTCCACCTAGACCTGCAGATTTAGTTTGGAGGAAGCGTCTTTGTAGACAAAATTAAGGTCAGGATCGGAGATGGCCCCGGATCGGGGGAGGGCCCTACAGGAGAAGACGCAGAGGAGGAGAGACCCAGACACACAGGGAGGACGGCCGCAGGGAGACCGAGCCGAGGCTGGGGGCCACGAGCCCAGGAGCACCGGGAGCCCCAGAGGCCGGAGGAGGCAGGGAGGACGCTCCCCCCTCCGCCCTGAGCCCCAGATGGGGCCCCGCCGCCCCTGGATCCTGGACTTCGGCCTGTGCAAGTGTGAGAATGAACCCTGTTGTTTCGAGCCAGCTTGGGAGCTTGTGAGGATCTGGGGGGGGGGGGGGGAAGAAGAGGCAGAGGAAGAAGAGGCGCCTTCGTCGCTCATGTTCTCAGGGTGTCAGCAGGTCCCGTCAAGCGTCCCCATGAGGTCCCAGAAGCCCCTTCTCGCCCTGCAGGCTCCTGGAGGCCTCCTGGTGCCGGCACCCCCTTCCTGCCCGGCGACTGGGGTGGGGGCGCCCAGCCCCATGCAGGGTCTTGTGACCCAGCGACCGCTGGCTTGTGTCACCAGAGCCCCGGGCCCAGCCCCCCTCGGGCAGGCAGCCCAGGCCCCGGGCGGGGCACCCGAGAAGCGCACGCGTGGCCGTCCTGCGGAACGCCAGCAAACCGCGCTCGGAGGCTGCTCTGCTCGCGGCTGCACAGAAATGCTATTGTTGGCGCCCTCGGAGCATTCCTGGGTGGCTCGGGGGCTCTCGCCTCCGTGAGTCAACATGTCCCAGCAGCGCGGGGGGTCACGTTGTCATGACCTCAGCTTCTCCCTGGGCCCATCTGTCGTGGGGGGGTCAGTGGGTGGCCACATGTCCTTGGTCTGCCTCCAGGAGGGCGTGCCCCTCGCTGAGCAGCACCCTGTTGCTCCGCGGCTCGGCTCGCCCTCCCGCAGCTGCAGGGCCCCCAGGAGCGAGCCCTCCCCCCTGCACCCCCGAGGCGTCTGGTGGATCCAGAAGGTGCCGAGGCCCCCTGGGCACTCTCACTCCAGACCTGCCTCCTCCCTCTGGACTGGAGAACCACCTGGCCTGGGGCTCTAACGCAAGACGAGACAAAGTGTCCTGCCTCACTCGGGCTTGCTCCAGCTGCCCCGGCGGGGGAGGCCGCTGAATCACCGTGGCTAAAAATAGCCTCCAGGTGTTCAGGGGTGGGAGCCCCGTTCTGGACTGCGGGGCTCTGCTCTCTCATCCCAGGTCCCCAGCCCCCTCCACCCCCCAAAACCCCTCGAGCAGCCTGCAGGCTGTGGAGGAAGTGGGGCAGGGCTCCAGGAAGACCCGGGGGCGGGGACACAGGGCCCTGTCTGGGGGGTGGGCAGGGAGGAGAGGGGGCGGTGGGAGGTGACTGTTGCATCTGCTGATGAGCCCTCGGGTCTCAGGGAGCTGTTCCGTGAGCTTCCGTGAAGATCACATGAAGCGAAATTGAAAACCACAGCACGAGAACAGCCCTTGGCTGCAGAGTTTTCTCCGCATAAAACCGAGCGTGCGTCCTGTGTCATGACTTAAATATGGGCGAGTCTGGGCTCCTCTGGCCCAGCGAGCATGGTGGATCCAGGGGAGCCTGTGACCGGCCCGGACACAGGTTGTCGCCCAGCCCAGCCCAGCACCCCCAGGTGGGCCCCTGGCTCGGTCCCCCAGCAGAGGCCACTCCGTTCTGAGCCACCTTCTCCCCTGGGGTGGGAGGGACAGGCAGGCAGTGATCTGAAGGATGGATTCGGGGTGTGGGGAAAGCTGTCCCCCCTCCCCTAGCCTGGCTCCTCCTCACCTGGGATGCAGCTTGAGATATTTACTCCTTCAGGTTTATCATGCGTGTCACATGTAGCACTTTATCAGTCACATGTCAAAGTGCACGAGACCATCAGATGTTTCCTTGCAAGAGTGGGGGTGGCAGTACCCCGGAGGGGGCGGGAAGAGGGGGTTGGAGAGGGCAGTGGGGGCCCCAGGAGCCTTGTTTCACAGGTTGGCTAGTGCGGGTCCAGGCTGCCGCTGTGTCGGGTGTGGTGGGTGAGCAGGTGCGGGGGGCCCCTTACCTGATGCTCTTCCTTCGGCCCACAAGGGTCAGCGCTGCCCAGTGACAGGGGGTCTTTGGGCTTCTTAGTCTCCCAGGCCGGGGAGGAGGTGTTCAGGACCGTTCCTCCGTGCGTCTCTAAGAGTTCCGGTTAGATTTACCCAGATGCCTCCAGGCTTGGCTAGTTTTCTTTGCTGAAGGGCTAAATATTGGGGGGATGTTGGCCCATTGGTGAGGAGGGGAAGCATCCTGGTTTTGGGGTCTGGAAACAAAGAATACACAGGAGAAGAACATATTCACACCAGTGGGTGCCAAGGGCTCCAAAGGGAACGGACAGTCGCTAATCTTTGCCCCCAAAGCAGCCAGCCGGCGGTGAAGATTGTCACAGGGAGATGCGGGGCCTGCGGTCTTGGGTCAAGGACAGGCTTCCGGGGGGCTGGGGGCCCACTGGGTGTCGAGGGCACACCACCGGCCCCGGCCTTCGCCCCTCGACTGCTGGCTGCAGAGGTGCTGGCGGAGAACTCTGCTCCGTTGCTGTTTTGCCTTGTGAGCAGCCTCCGGCCGTTTCTCAGCAGCTCCGTCCCGTTTCTCTCCCGCCCCGCAGACTGGGACGAGTGTGCAGACAGTCTGGGGCACGACTGCTCCCCCGCTGCCCAGTGCATCAACCTCGAGGGCTCCTACACCTGTCGGTGCCGGACGGCCAGGGACGCCAACCCCTCCCGAGCGGGCCGGGCCTGTGAGGGTGCGCCCCCCACCCCCACCCCCGGGACCTCCTATCCCATAGCCTCTCTAGCACCCACAGGCCACTGTCCTGCATCCTTCCCTTATTCATGTAACGTAGGGCACACTGACGCCGGTCATCAGCACCGAGCCCTGCGCTGAGCCCAGATCTAGAGAAGTTGCCCCATTTCCGCAAGGGCCGGGTGGATTCAGCTGCAAGAACGGGGCCCTGTGCTTATGTCCTGGCTCTGCAGCCCCCCAGCTGGAGCTCCACTCGTGGCACCTGAGAGCTCCCATTTATCCAGTGGAGAGGCCCTGCCGCCCCCTTGGAGAGCTGCAGACACGAGCCCCACTAAACATTCGTGATCCCGTCGCCCCCAATGAGACAGCCTTTGTCCCCACTTTTGGGGGCCCCCCGGGAGGCTCTCGCTCATGGGTGGCATCTGGTGGGTTTTGCTTAGTGTCTTTGGACCAGGTGTCCCCTCTGAGAGTGGATGTGTGTCTTGGTAGGTGACGCGGTGAGCCCCACGGGAGGTGTCCTGCCTCCGGCAACAGGAGTAACAGCCCCAGTTCTCGGCACAGAAACAGCAGCCCTTGACCGGGAGACTCCTGCCTTGTGGCCCAGCCCTGGGCACCCATGGGGCACGCCCGCAGCAGGCCAGGCCCAGACCCCAGGCCTGCCACCCAGGAGAGGGGGCAGCGACGTGGCCAAGCAGGACGGGAGTGGCACAGGCCAGGGCATGAAGGAGGAGGTGCCCAGCATGGCCCCAGGCTTGGTGACAGGCCCAGCGACAGCCAGCAGGGCTCCCGGGAACCCCCATGGCTCCCCTCCTGGGGCCATGAATGTCCTGCTGGACACCCCTGGATGGTTGTCAAGAAACTCCAGCATGGAGCCGCCCGTCTGGCCCACACCTACTGAGGGCCCCGCAGACCACATCGAGTGGCACGCCAGTCTCCCCACTTGGAGAACACCACCAGCGCCCCTGGACCCCACAAGGCCACAGAACATGCACCCTGGGCCCTCCAGCTCCCCGGACCTGCCCTCAGCCCTCACCCCTGAGTCTCTGAAGCTTCCGTCCTGTGGTGAGTGCCTCGGATGGCATGTGCTAGGGGGCCTGTGCCCCGAGACCCCGGGCACACCAGGGAACCCTTGCGTTCCAGTTGGTAAAGGCTCACACGGTCATTGAATCAAAGACCTTTGAGAAAAGTCAGGTGTCTTGCTCATCGTATGGCTGCGCCAAGTGGGGCACAGCACAGCCCTGTCCCTGGGGGTGGCCTCTGTCTTGTTAGGACTGAAACCTGGTCCCTGTGCTTTCTCCAGTCCTCCCCTGCCTGTCCCCAAGCCTTCTGGTTGCCCATCAGGAGCAGGAGGTCGGGCCCAGGAGGAGCCTGTGGGGTGCATGTGTCCCCTTAAGCACTGCAGAGCCCCCCCCCACCCAGGAGTGCTGGGCACCCCAGCATTTCCACGCCTCCCCAGCAGTGCAGAAGCCCTGAGCCCTAGTGCAGTCCCTGGCACCGTGCAGACCCCCTGGCAGTTCTACTGACAGCACACAGAGGACTTGGCCATTGCCAAGGTCCTGGGGCAGCACCGTAGATGGGCGGCAGCCCCGGCCGTGAAGCTCCCACGCGGCATCCCTGTGAGCTCACTGTGCTAGCCCGACCCCGGCTTGCCGCCAAACAGAACCTAAACGTATCTCCATCGGTGCATCTCCTCTGCTGAGTGTTGCACGTTCCAAGACTACACGGCAGGCCCCGTAAGTCAGTACCGTCGAGCGCCCCCCGGGATCACCCTGCGGGAATGGCTCCGAAGCCAGCCATGGCCACCTGTGCTGGCCCCTCTATGAGTCCGCTCAGGGGTGGTGGGGTAACCCCTCTGGAGGAGCCACCCAGCATCTGCTCAAGAGGTTTGCTTTAGGGAAGACCAGGGACCTCAGTGGCAGAGAGAAAACCAAACCGGAAGGGGCGGGAGTGCTGTCCGAGGGAGCCTGGGGCTCAGGGGGCTGTCCAGGGACCCTGTACCACATACAGGGCTAGTGGGGCGGGGGGGGGGGACTTCGAACGACTTCCTTGGGCTGGTGTCCGCCGATGCCCTCTCCTGTCCCCAATCAGTGTATTCGATTTTAGGGTTTGGTGAGGCTTCTCCGGTCCTCTCTCCTTGGATCACTGGATTGCTTTTCATTTGCTCGATGCTTATGCCCACTTGCCAGATCCCGTCCCCATTGAGAGGGTCACCGTCTCCAATGTGACCAGCACCAGCTTCCACGTGGCGTGGGCGGCGGACCTCGCCCGGCACCCCACCTTCCAGCTCACCGTCACCTCCACGCGGAGCCCCGCGGTGCACCTGGAGACCCGGAACGCGAGCCTGACGCTGTCGGGCCTGGAGCCCGGCGTCCTGCACCTGGTGGAGATAGCGGCCGGAGCGTGCGGGGAAGGAGGTGCGGGGGCCCGCCTCAGAGTGAGGACAGGTAATGAATGGGCTTCAGGGACGCTCGTGGCCACTTGTGCTCAAAGGGAGGGAACAAGTACGTGAGAGATTTTCAGCGCGTTCAGGTTCAAAAGAGCCAGAATCATTTGCGAGCAGCTGCGTTTCTGCCTCTCGCGGGCCCAGGAATGCAGCAGGGGGCAGACCGCGGGCCACGCGGAGGCGCAAAGTGCTCAGGACTCTGCCCGCAGAGGTGGTGGCCGCTGGCTGCCCCGTGTCCTCGAGGGTACGTGGCAGGAAAACACGTGTGGTGCTGGTGTGCTGAGCGTCACGCCCTCCCTCTGATTGCTCCCGCTCTCAGCGGACCTGGACTTGGCTTCTAGGAAGGACGGATAGACAGGGGACATGAGACAGTTGGACAGCTTGTCTGTCTGTCTCCTCCCGGCCGGGGCCTGGTGAGGTGGCGTTGGTGCTGGTGATAGTTATGTGTTCGGACAAATCTTGTTTCTCCCCCTTTGCACCTGTCGTCCAGATACTTCCCTGAATGCGTAAGTTGCTCAAACAGCCAAGGGCTGGCTGACGTTGCAGATGGGTCCTCAGGTCTTGGGCAGCTGTGTAAGGGCTGACGGCAGAGTGCTCCAAGGTGGGGTGCACAGCCCTTGGGGGTGCCAGTAAGAGGAGCTTTCAGCTTCCGTGTGCGTCCTTTAGGGTACCGATGAGCTGTGGACTGGGAAATCAGAGGGAAGTCGGTGTGCAAGGGTGTCCTCCAGCAGGTTCATGGTGGGCTGGAGGAGGGACGGTCACTGCCGGAAGGCCTCACCTGCTGGAAGGAGGAGCCCCCACCACAGGCATGTGACCTGTGCCGGGGCGGGTCCCTGTCCCTTCTCACCTGTGCACCTGTCCTGCTCCTGAGGCTTTTAGATCAAGCTGTGGCGTCTGGACCCATGGTCCTCTGGTGCAGCGATAGCCGTGACCCCAAGGACATGGGTGTGGGGGTCATCAGGCCATGCGTCCTGGGATGGCTTGGTGGTTTGTGCTAGGCCTGGGCAGTAAGCCGTGGGGGCAGCACTCTCAGCCCCGCCGGGAGAACCTTGGCCTTTCCTCCAGCGCCCTGAACAGCAGGCACCTGGCAGGTGCATCACAGATGTCTAGTGAAGGACCGAACGAGGTGGCTGCTGTGCTGGATGCCACCTGCCAGACGCCAGGGTGTGGCCAGGCGATGTTCCTGGACCGCGTTTTTGTACCAAGGCCTCCTGGAAGCCCCACGTGGAGGGAACAGATTCCCATGGAACAGACCTGGTGCAAAAGCAGGGACCACCCTTAAGCCACGGGGAGACAGTGCTCTAGGGGGAGGGAGAAGAGAGTCAGGACCCCTGGGCGCTGTGCCGTGGGCTGTGGGCTCTGGCAGGGGTGGGGCAAAGCCACCCCACGACTTGATTTGCCCAGGACATCCAGGTGGGCCCCTGCGGCCTGGGCATAATTAACTGAGAGCGCCTCCTTTCCTTCTCGAAGTTGTCCCTGCTGGTAAACCACCTGGGCAGCGTGTGCGTGGAGAGCCACACGGGGGCGGGGAAGAGGGGGGCAGGGGGCCCAGAAGCTTCTCCGTCTGTGCCCCGGCTGCACGCCGGCGTCCTCTGGGGTGGCTGGGCTGTGTGTGCATGTGCGGGGCACCACCAGCCTCCGGTGCCGTTCTTTCTGGCCGACGTGAAGCCACCGAGCTGCGCAGTCACCGTTCCCAATGCTCCAGACGGGTTTGTTCTCTGTCCGCAGCGGCCCAGAAACTCAGAGGCAAAGTCAGAATAGCCAACGTCAGGTACGTAGAGTCCTTGGGCAATGCAAGCAGCGAGGAGTATCAGGACTTCCGGGAGCGGTTCCTTACGATGGTGAGTTGGGGGGGACCGTCCCTTCCTTTTCGGGACGTGCACAGGGGGGTGGACAGAAGCCCAGGCACAGCCTCGCGGGATGCGGACGTGTAGGTGCCAGGACCCCCCACCTCCGAGGGAAGCTCCGTCCGGCGCGGTGCCTGGTGTCCCTGCCGCTAGACCCATCGGCAGGTGGGGGACACACCTGGGTCCCTGCTGCGTCCTCGCTCGGCGCTGTTAGCTGTTGGGCCAGCTCCTTTATGGCAGTGGGACCCCGTGGAGCAGGAAGCCTGGCGAAGAAAACCTTTTATAAAAAATTGAGATCTAATTTCACGGTCCCTAAAATCCACACTTTACAAGGGCTCCGTGCAGCGCTCTGGGCTTTTTCTGCGAAACTGCACAACAGCCACCGCCAGTTCCAGAACATTCCCATCATCCCCCCGAAAGAGGCCCCGCCTGTGCCCATTTGCGACAACTCCCCCAGCGCCCCGGCCCTGCCACCCCTGCCACCCACTAACCTGCCTGCCCTGGATGTCGCGTGTGCACAGAATCATTACACGCGTGGCCTGTGGCGTCTGGCTTGCTCCCCGGAGCCCCGGGCGGCCACACGGAGAGACCACGGTCCGCGCGCCCCTTCATCCGCTGATGCGCGTGGTGGTGCTTGCACTTTCTGGCGAGCGTGAACGAAGCTGCTGTTCCTTTTTCCTGATCTCGCCGGCGCCTCCCCCGCCGCCCCATTCACACTCCCAGGGACGGTGGTGGCCGGGATTTGCTGCAGCTTGATTCCCCTTTGACGAAGAGAGGATGCGCTGGTCCCGATCCCGCGGTCTCCTGGATGCGGTGGACGTCGGGTCCCCGTTAGCTTTCCCTCCCCGCCGGGTTTAAGACCCAGGAGAGAGGGTTTGGAAGCGCCACCTCGAGGCGGAGGGTGCTCGCCCCGTAGCCCGATGACTTGGTTCTGTTCTCCCCTCCAGGGTGGAGGAAATGGGGCCCGCTGGGGCTCCTCGGGGATCTGGGATCCTGCCTTATTTGTCCTGGGTCCCCAGCACCCAGCCCAGTGCCCCTGTGCATGGATTCAAGAGTTGTCAATGGTCTTCTGTAGGTTCCGTGATGTTTGCACGTAATACTAAGCAACAGCGCTGACCATCGGGCCACAGGGCCGCGGGGACCATGTGCAGCAGCCCCAGATCCACACACATGTCTGCACGCATCCTTCGTCCCCCAACCATGTCTTCGCTCGCCTCTTTCTGGGGACCGTTGTTGGTTTGTCTAGAGTTTCAGGATAGCAGATGATTGTGCAGCTTGTCACTCATGTAGGACAGCTTTTGGGAGGTTGTGGGTTAACGTGGCACCTTGTTCCCGTCACTGCCTAGCGTGGAGGCTGGAACTTTGCTTTGAGAAGGATTTGAAAGGCAGCCCCGAGGGCCTTTAATCCAACCGCATCTCTGGAAGTCCCAGATGAGAGAGAGAGAGAGAGAGAGAGAGAAAGAGACAAGAGCTAGCTCTTCCAGTGGTAGTGATGGTGGCCCGGTGACCGGAGGTGACAGCAGATTTGTCACCTTGGATGTCCCAATGCTGAGAAGTGAATCCATGAGCCCCTGCCTTGAGCCACCACCCCTCACGGGGTCCAGATGAAGACGAGGTTTTCTGGGAGGCCAGACCCCAGAAGCACACGTTCCCATAGAAGTCTAGTTCTGTATGGAGCACTTAGAGCCCCTACTCGGTGGCGTTTTGGCTGTGAGGTGCCAGGATGGCCTGCGAGGAAGGATTCCCTCCAAGGTGGTAGAGGGAAAAGCGAGGCAGGAGCTGTGTGTCCTGGTGGGAAGGCTTGCAGGGAAGCGGTTTTGGGGAAGGTGGGAAGAATGGCAGGGGAGCTGGTCTACAGCATCAGTAGAGGGAGTGTTCTAGAAAATGAACAGTGAGAGAGAGATGACCCCCCCCCATGTCCACCCATCCAGCCCCCACCCTCCACAGCTCTGCGCCGAGAGCAGTAGGTTCTAAACGCCGTCACGTGCGCCCCCTTGGGTGACGTGTCCCCCCCTCCCGCCAGGCAGGGCCCTTGCATGTCACCCACACCGGCCCGCGGATGTGCTCTGGGGGAACAGGGCTCTTCTTGGGACTTGGGGTTGGGACACGGCACACGGGACCTTGGCCTTTGGCTGCTGGCCCGAATCCCAGGAGGTGACCCCTTGGTCGGATATCCTGCTTTCTCTCATTCTTTTCATGTGCCATCTCTTCAAAGGTGCGGGGTTCCTTGCCAGCCGCCATGCTTCGGCTCGTGGACTCCGGTGGGGTCCAGGTGGAGGTGACCCGCATCGCCAACGGCAGCGTCGTGGTGGAGTTTAACCTGCTGATCACCGCAGACGTGGGTGTCCGCGAGGTGTCCGCTGCGTTCCTCGTGGCCTTTCAGAACGCGTCTCTGCTGGAGGTGGTCGGAGAGGACACGGTCATCCAGGGTAGGTGGAGGCCGGGCTCCCCCCCCGCCCCGAGGCTCACTGTGTCTGCAAGAGAAGTGGGGAGACCCCAGCTTCTGCCCTTGTTTGGAAGATGTCACCCTATGTGTCTCCTCCTAGGGGCTCCCAGGCAGGAGGTCAACATGGGGAACAGATAGGACCCTCATCTTTTTTAATTTTTTGTTTTATCATTATTTTTTTAATTTAATTTATTTCTTTTTCTTTCTTTTTTTTAAAAGATTTTATTTATTTATTTTAAAGAGAGAGAGAAAACATGAGAGAGAACACAAGCAGGGGCAGAGGGAGAGGGAGAAGCAGACTCCTCGCTGAGCGGGGAGGCCGATGCGGAACTCGATCCCAGGACCCCGGGATCATGACCTGAGCCCAAGGCAGACGCTTCACCGACTGAGCCCCCCGCCCAGCGCCCCATCTCTCTTATTGCTACTGTGTTGGTTTCTGAAGGTTTAGGGGCCGGAACCATCCTGGTGTGAAGCTGCGCAGATGCCCAGAGATGCTGCTCCCTTTCCGGGGACCGCCCTGGGCCTCCTCTGCCACCCACGTAACCGGGCTGGGGGTGCACCTGCCCCTCTCTGCAGCCCACGCTTCCTCCCAAGCAAGGTTTCCAAGGAGATCCTGGTAAAAATAATTGAAAAGAAAAGCAGGGAGAAAAAGCCATTTAGATTCTTCTTTCAAGTCCTATTTGTCATCGCGAGCTGTCGTAACCAAATACCACGGACGGGGCGGCTTCAACAACACAACAGCACGTTCTCACAGTTCTGGAGGCTGGACGGCCCAGATCCAGGGGCCCGCTGGTTCGTTTTCTGGGGCTGACCCTCTCCCCGCCGTGTGGACAGAGCTTCCAAGGCCTTTCTTTCCCCGTGTGTGTGCCGAGCTCTGGCGCCACTTCTTATAAGGACGCCAGCCCTCTTGGGTGACAGTCCCACCTTTATGGGCTCCATTAGCCTTAATTACCTCCTAAACGCCCCCTCTGCAGACACAGTCCCACGAGGGGTTGGGGCTTCAACGTATGTATTTTGGGGGCACATTTCGGTTCACAGCGCGTGTCACATCAAATAAATGATGAAAAAATTTCATGTATGACGTCACTCAGAGGCCATACAAGCATTTTTCCGGTTTTTGGAAAGAGGAGCGTTTTCTAATTTGAAAATTGAAGGCAAAGGAGCCCCCAGAGGCAAAGGCTGAAGTATTTGACTCTATAAAAGTGTAAGCTTTTTATATTAAACAAAATAAAGGCGCCCTGCTGAAGAAGGCAACACCCCGAAACATAGTTTCAATCATCTTTTTAAAAAAGGTTTTATTTATTTATTTGAGAGGGAGAGAGCGAGAGAGAGCGAGTACAAGCGGGGGGAGTGGCAGGCAGAGGCAGAGGGAGAAGCAGGCTTCTCACTCAGCGGGGACCCCGATGCGGGACTCGATCCCAGGACCCCGGGATCATGACCTGAGCCAAAGGCAGACGCCCGACTGATGGAGCCACCCCCAGGCGTCCCACCATCCGTGTTTGAAAGGACCAGGGGGACATGTCACCGAGCAAACTGTGCTATGCGGGAGGCGGCCTTAGGTGTGGACATGCTCTCTGCTCAGATGGCCTGATTTTTACCCATTTCCTGCAGTAAACCCCCTTCTGTGAGTAAGAGTGACTGGGCGCAGAGACCAAGGCAGGCAAGTGCGCCGAGGGCCTTCTACGGGGACGGGCTTGCGGGGTGCATGGGCCTGAGGCCAATGGCCGGGGCCGGGGTCCTGTTGGCGCCCCGATGAGCTGCTCCTCCCCAGCCCCCCGGGACCAGGAACCCTCCCCCCTAGCAGCCCCCGCAGACGTCCGGACACCGGCTCTTGCCCCCATCCCGGCCGAGAAGCAGGTGCCGCCCTGTCCCCTCAACTCCCCAGAACTGGCCAGCTTTGTCGTCCCTCCGTATTCAACTCCGCGGCCCGAGAAGCACGCCAGCTCCCCACCCCACAAGGCCGTGTGAACAGCCGGAGCGGGAGCACCTCTCACCCGCAGCCCTCGGGGGCCCGGTGACCGTGACCGTGTCCCGTCTTGTTTCCGATGTCGCGCAGATTACGACGAGTGTGAGAGCCAGGAGCATGACTGCGAGCCGGGCGCGTCCTGCCGCAACACTCTGGGCTCCTTCACCTGCAGCTGCGTGGGCGGCGCCCCCCACGTCCCTCTGGAATATTCTGGAAGACCCTGTGAAGGTGAGATTTCCCTAATCCCTTCTCTGAGATACTGTCAGGTCATCTGTTCTTTTAAGGACGTCCGTTCACAAAGTCCTTCTTTTCCAAACGGGGTCAGCATATTTTTACGTCCTGGATGCGTTTTCCTACGTGTGTGTGCACATGCATGTGTGTCTGTGCACACGTACGTGCCCCTTCACACTGTGCCATGCATCTCCAGCCTCCTGGGGGCACTTCGCGTCTCTCAAGTGCCCCCGATGAGAGACTATGCACGTTAAGGTCTGCGTCCTCTCGGATTCTAGAAGTGACCTCCGGAGCCTACGGCCCGTGTGATAAGCAGCACGCGGGAGATGTTTCTGCTCGGCCCCTCCTTCCACCCCATACTTTAACCATTAAATGGGGCCTCAGTGGATTCAGCGTTGGCCCTGAGGTGACCCCTGTCATGCAGGGATCTGTGGTCAGGTGGAGCGAGACGGACACTTATGCAAGTAAACACTTGTCACCGGGAGTATGGAGTGTGTTCTTGCTTGCAGTAGAAGCAGGAGGCTCAGAGGGGCTAGGCTGTTGCAGCTCCATGAGCAGGGTCAGGGAGGGCTTCCTGGAAGAGGTGGTCTTAAAGGCCCGCTAGGACAGCACTGGGCAGAGGGGCTCCAGCGGAGCAGGGTGCCCTGGGTCAGTGCAGCAGTGAGCACAGAGCTCCTGACGGGCGCACGGTGCCGGCGCAGTTGGGCCCGGCTGAAATGTGGAGGGGGCCGGGAGCGAGCGGGGGAGGCCAGTGGAGAAGGCGGTGAGCGCCACGAGCGGGTTTGGGCTGCATCTTGGGAGCTAGGTGAGGGGTCGGAGCGGCGGGTGAGCCCCACCCTGACAGAAGAGAAGATGGGTGCTAGGGTGGCAGGTGATGGAGCCGGGCCCAGGGAGCGGGCTGACACGTGTCCTGGGTCGGGTTGGCGCAGACGAGGCCTGGAGCCCTGGGGGGACCCTGGACGTCTCTGCAGAGCCTTTGTGTCCCCATGGAGGTTGAGGCTGTGCTTTGGGGGAAGCGGGAAGTGGGGGGAGGAGCTGGGGACTCAGGATGCTGAGACTAAACACCCACCTTAGAGATTAGGGGGGTGTCACAGCCAGCCCTCGGGCTCAGCCCGCACCCAGCGTCAGCCCGGGAGAGTCTGGGGGGTGGGGGGCAGAGGGCACCATGGTCCCCTGGCCCACAGGAGCCCCCGGCCCACCAGGCCAGGCCCCGCCGTTGGGCAGGAACGTGCAACAGGTGCATGTGTGTGATCGTGGCCAGAATGTGCAGCCCGGGTGTGTGCGGGACTCAGCCCCTGCCCCCTCCACGCGGGCTCGCAGGCCAGGCTCAGGGGACCCTCCCGAAACACAGACCCAGTCTTGGTTTCATCTCCTTGTGCCTTGCAGGTGACCCTCCTGGCCACGTGGCCCAGGCTCCCGGGGCCCCTGGGGGCCTCCCCACCCCTGCAGGAACCAGGGCTGCCTCGGTGCCAGCAGCCAGCCAGGGGCCCCAGGACCCGCCCCCGCGGCTGAGCCTGACGGAGGCGGTCAGGGTGCTCTGCGAGATCGAGAAGGTGGCCATCGCCATCCAGAGGCGCTTCCTGCGGCAGGAGTCCATCCCCGAGTCTTCCCTGTACCTGGGACACCCCTCCTGCAACGTGAGCTACCACAACAGCACCCACGTTCTCCTGGTGGCCGGGTGGAGCGAGTGCGGAACCGTCGTGCAAAGTGTAAGGGCTGGGGGGCCAGACGCGGGAGGCACACAGGGAAGACTGCACCCCAAGGTCTCCGACTTGAAGTGGGGGCCCCAAGAAAGGGGGACACGTTAGAGCAGTTTCTCACCGGGGACCAGACTGCGTCCTACATTCAGGAGGGAGTTTCAGGCTCTGCCCTGCGGGATCCTGTGCAAAGGGACTGGGGTCGGCCTCGGGATTTAAAGATACTTCCAGGGATTCTGAAGCATAGGCAGGATGGGCGGCGGCTAGCGAGGAAACAGGCAGGAGAGCTCAGTGTGTTACCGTGAGCGTCCAGACGTGCACGTGTGTGGGAACATGCGTGTGTGACTGCGTGAGTGTGCACACATTTGTGCACGCTGGGCAAGGGGGCTGGTGTGATCACAAGGACCTGGCCAGAGGGACTGAGGTCTACTTCACTGCAGAGTCGTTGACAGGGTGACAGGCAGCACAGACGGGAGCCCGGCCCATGGGAGCTCCTCTGGGGGTAGCACCCCTGCACCCCGGGTGCCAGGCTGACCGGCTCCAGGCCCTGGTTCTTCCCAGGTTGGCTCTGGGTCACAGTTAAGGCTCCCGTGTCCCTCTCACCTCCCTCCTCCCAGCACTGAGCAGCCTAGAGGCCACCAGCGTCCTCTGTGAGGCCCCCTCACTGGCCACGGGGGGACAGGGTGGCCCCCTGAGAAATGTGCTACCCTGGGACAGGACCTGTGGACACTGACATGGTCCCCAGATGCGTGCGGGGAGGACTGTGTGTGCAGCCAGGGGACATGTGGCAGAGGCTGGGTGAGGGGGGCGGAGAGCAGGGGGTGGTGGGCGGGACTGACCAGGTGGAAGGTGCTGGAAGGAGCGGTTCTGGGAGGCAGGGCAGCTGGGCCCTGGGTTGAGCGTGGACGTGGAAGGGTCTGGTGGTGGCCGTGCCCCAGGAGATGGTCTCAGCCGGGGGCCGCGTGGCAGTGGAGATGGGGAGGTTGTCCTCAGTCGGGAGGTTGGTCCACATGGCAGGGGCCCAGGGGCCTGGACTTCTGCCTCTAAGAACCTCCTGAGGGCAATTCGAGGCCTTGTTTCCCAGAATGGGGTGGGGAAAGGTGGCGGGGCCATGGGCTGGGTGCCCTACCTGCATGGTGATGGTTAGGTCCCCGTGTCTAGGTTTCTTTTTTTTTTTTTAATTTTTTTAAAATTTATTTATGATAGTCACACAGAATGAGAGAGAGAGGCAGAGACATAGGCAGAGGGAGAAGCAGGCTCCATGCACTGGGAGCCTGACGTGGGATTCGATCCCGGGTCTCCAGGATCGTGCCCTGGGCCAAAGGCAGGCGCTAAACCGCTGCACCACCCAGGGATCCCTGTGTCTAGGTTTCAATGGGACCTCGTGGTCAAGGGGTCAAGGATGCCCTGCCTGCAAGGACCAGCCCTAAGGCCCCTGTGACTCTGCCTTTCCAGGGGCCCTCAGGGGTACAAGGGGGGCAAAGGCCTCGTACTCAGAGGCTTCTGATTGGGGCCCAGTCCGTGCACCCCAGTGGGGACACGTGGGCTCCGGGCACGGGCTGGGCTCAGTCAATAGGTGATGCTGGGGCCACAGGCACAGGGAGGCAAGATCAGGGGTTGAGAGGAGCAGAGCTGGGTGGGTGCCCCGAGCAGGAGGCCTGGACGTGGACAGTGGGCCCACGCGGGGAGCAGCCCCGCCGAGAGGAGGCAGGGGCTCCAAAGGCTGGCGAGGGACTTGGTGGGAGGCTTCTGGGGAAGAGTCTCTGCCCGAGGAGAGATGGGACATGGGGGCAAAGATGGCCCTCAGGTGCAGGCGTGCTGGGGGCCAGGCGCTGGCGCTGCAGGGTCAGGTGCAAGAGGACGTGGGGGGGCAGGCCGCTGCGGGGTGCACGTGTGCGTGCACGTGGGCGTGCGGGGGATCATGGCCGAGCAGTGCACTTGCACAGTCGGCCTGCTTGCCTCTCTCGAGTGTGACTCCAGCCTCCTTGGGGGCTGTGGGTGGGAGGAGCCACCAGGATGTCCCCAGGGACCCAGAGCCTTCATCAGCCCCCCTCCCACCGTCCAACCAGCACAGCTTAAACATGACCCTGGGGACTTGCTTCTCTTTCTTAAGGATTACTCGGGCTCCCTGGAGGCGGGCCGCACTGATGGGGGGGTGGGGGGGTTGGGGGGGTGGTAGCAGCTTCTCAGCAGCCGCGGTTCTGAGCCCCAGGGCCTGCGGGCCCCGGGCTGGACGGTGGGCCCGGGCAGAGCTGCCCCCGAGGGTCTCAGGTCCAAGGTAGCAGCCTGCAGGCTTGCAGAAGCGAACTGAACGATGCAGGAGATGATGTGGGCAGCTGTTGGGGGGGAGCCTCATACGGGTGGGGGGGCCCCGGGGGCCAGCCGGCGCACTGGCTCGCTGCCTTTGTTTCCCTGAGCCACACACACACCTGGTACAGCTGTCACGTTCAGTAGGGTTCAGAGCCCTTTCAGAGCAGAGGGAAATGCGTCTCTAACGAGCCATCCCAGCCCTGGAATCCACAGAAGTTCTCCATCTTTTTTTTTTTTTTTTTTAGTTTCTTTTTTTAAGGATTTTATTTATTCATGAGAGACATAGAGAGAGGCAGAAACACAGGGAGAGGGAAAAGCAGGCTCCATGCAAGGAGCCTGATACAGGACTCGATCCCAGGACCCTGGGATCACGCCCTGAGCCACAGGCAGATGCTCAGCCCCTGAGCCACCCAGGCATCCCGGAAGTTCTTGATCTTTTTTGACATTTGCCAAAACCTAAGATTTCCCAAAGACTATTTATACAAATACAACGGAATAGATAGAGTTAGCAGGATCTGCTTCCTCCTTTTTTCTTTTCTTTTCTTTTCTTTTCTTTTCTTTTCTTTTCTTTTCTTTTCTTTTCTTTTCTTTTCTTTTCTTTTCTCTTTTTTCCTTTTTTGGTTCAGCACTTTCAATGTTATTGACCCCTTAATGTCTTAGATGTTAAATCTAAGGCTTTAAGGCTCCCCCATAAGCCGGATAGGCCGCATACAGATTGTGCAGAGGATGCTCTAAGAGACCCAAAGTGATGCACACACCCCAGGAGATTCGCCAGCGTATGGAATCATCTTCACAAACACTTCCAAAATTCTTGTGGGGGCGGCAGGGGTCTGTCCAGTTTGTCTGAGACACTTTTCAAAGCGATTTTCAAAGGCACCAAATGTGCACCATGGTGAGCATGCGCTCTGGACGGGGGGGGGGGGAGAGGGGGGACATCAGAGATTTGACGCCCTGTCTGTTATGACCCTACGTGTACAGGAGCCTCTGCTCCTCAGCTGGCAGAAGCCACCGGACCCCCAAACATCACATAGATAAGTATTGCAATGTAGGGAGATGCCCATACAAGCAGACGCAGAGACAGGTGCACGTTCAAAAGTGTTTCAGTGCTTCCATTTTCGGGTAATTCGGTGAGGAACCTGGGCAGGTGTGTTCCCAGAAGCTAAAGCATCACCAGTCTCTACTAAGGCAAACGAATTCCAAGAATTAACCGGGTTTTCCAAAATCCGAATTTCACCATGTATATAAAAACCTAGAGACACCCCCCCCCCCCCCCGGTCAAATCCAGTAGCTTCCAATATACGCTAATGACTCTCTGATGTAGTCAACTCACCCGTGCTTACCGGGTCTGTTTCACGGACGCACGAGGAGAAAATACACTTGCCGTAATTTCTCGTAAGCGAGTGGCCAGTAAGGAGTAGGTGTGGGAGCTGGAGAGGCAGAGGAGCTTTCAAAACGTCTTCCCCGCGGCGACTCTTCAGTCCAGACCGTCCAAAAGCAGCCGCTCCCCGTCACGCTCCTGCAAGCGTTGCACCACCTGTGACCCATTCGTGCCAGAACCTGGTTGGCCGCTGGATTCCGCGTCTCTATCAGACTCGGGGGTGCCATCAGGGCTGCTGGTCTCCAGATCTCTAGTTTCAGCCATCGCTGCCTGGCAGGCTCACCGTGACCAGGCCCTCCGCTGTGCCGCCGTTGTGGGTGCCACCCTGCTGCCCATCACATCCTGCTTCGGTGGTTGAGTTTCCATGGACGCTCCCGATGGGTCCCCACCGGCTTACTTTTCAGCCAGGCCCCCGGCTTCCTCCTCCTCGTAGGTGGTCTGGGTCGTCCGTTTCTCACAGTTTCCCCTGCCTCGTGTCGACTCCTAAGCTGGTTAGGCCGTGCCTTCAGCCGAAGAGGTGCCACACTCGCCACTAGGCGTCCACCAACAATCCGCAGGCGTCCTTGGCTGGCGCTGTGCCCTGTTCTGGTGACAGCGTAGCAGGTGTCCGTAAAGGGGCGCTGGTCTTGGGAAGCCCACCCCCATGATGGTCAGACTCCAAGCCACGAGCACCGCAAACGAACGAAACTTCAGGCATCTTGTCAAACAGAAGACTTGGTTCGGCTCCAGTATGACGATGGAGATTTTCACAGAAATATCCGTCTCCTCCTATATGCTCGCCACTGAAGCACATCGTGCAACTGCCCGCCTCGGGCTCTCCGTCCCCGTGGTGGGCTCTGGAGAAATTCCAGAACCCTCGTGCGCTTCGGAAGGAGCATCATCCTGCACAGCTGTCTGGAGAGCCTCTCCTGCTAAACGTTCACACCGCAAGCAACCAGTCCTCAATCCCGGTTGACTCTAACGTGGTTTCTGTAGGTCCAAACCAGTCTGCTCTGCCCCTGGCTCTAGGGGGCTTCACTCCATGACGGGCAGGCTCAGCATTGTTCCCTGGGGGCTCAGGTGAAGGTCACGATGACCTCTGCTCTCTGGAGGTTGTCCTCTGGGTCCCTGGGCTCCTGCTTTGCCCCCCAAGACGATGGCGCCTGGAGAGAATGCCGGTGGTCTAGTGTAGACTTCAATCAATTGATTTTACCTCGATTTCTTTGTGGGCGGGTATTGTGCTCTCGTCTCTCGTTTTTTTTTTTTTTAATAATAAATTTATTTTTTATTGGTGTTCAATTTGCCAACATACAGAATAACACCCAGTGCTCATCCCGTCAAGTGCCCCCCTCAGTGCCTGTCACCCAGTCACCCCACCCCCCGCCCTCCTCCCCTTCCACCACCCCTAGGTCGTTTTCCAGTCGTCTCTCGTTTTCAAAAACGTTCTGGGGGATGATTTGGGGAGGAATCGGATCTATTATCTGGGGGGTGTCAGCCGATGATCCAGTTTGTCTCCGGTTCTCTTCCAATGAGGAAAATGGGCAGACAACACAGGCTACATAAACCAGGGGTCAGGACTTCACGCTCTCTTTGGCATTTGATGTTAGGAAAAGCTCATCAGGGTTTTGGTATTTGGGGGACAAGCTTTAGAGAAGAGCCATCCCTCCCCCGCCCCGGGCACCCAGAAGCACAGTCCGCACGTGTGCCGAGGGGCCCGGGAGCACGCTGACGCCCTGTTTGTGTCCAGAATGTGACAAATACGGTGGTGAGGACCACGTTGAGGAATGACCTGTCCCCCGAGGGCATCATCCACCACCTGAAGATCCTAAGCCCCATCCACTGTGCCTTCCAGAACGACCTCCTGACGTCGTCGGGCTACACCCCAGAGTGGGGGTGAGTGGAGCCGTCTCTGCCCATCCCTCCCCAGCTCACTCTCCTCTCTCGTGCCTTCACATTGGATTTCTTGAGGGCTCAACCACTCGAGGACCCTTTTGTGAGGCGCACAGTGGCCAGGGCTTGGTTGGTAACTGCCGGCTCCCCTAATTTTTGTCTTCCCTTCCAAAATAGGAGCAACCAAAGAAAGCCAGATATGCACCCCCAGCCAACCACATAGGATGCCCTTGGCTTCCCCATGATGAGGCCTCCATCGGGGCTGCCTGGGGCCGCCCAGTCCCACTGTGAAGCTGACCCCCGCCCCCGCCTGTCCCTGAGTCCCCTCCAAACCCCAGTGGTGGTGCTAACACACCACTCCAGCCAGCTCAGAATAGGTGGACTTTCTTTGCCTCCTCTCCTTCGAGTGGTCTTCCTTTACTTCCGTACTTCTTTGGAGTTGCTTCTCGGGGAGGAACGGGCAGGGGGTGGGTCACAGAAGCGCAGCCCCCGAAACCACTCACTCTTGCAGGGTCTACACCATCATCGAGGACCTCCACGGCGCTGGCAATTTTGTCACCGAAATGCAGTTATTTATCGGGGACTCCCCAATACCTCGAAATTATAGCGTGTCTGCCAGTGACGACGTCAAGATTGAAGTGGGGCTCTATAAGCAGAAGAGCAACCTCAAGGTGGTGCTGACCGAGTGCTGGGCGACGCCGTCCAGCAACGCCAGGGACCCGGTCACGTTCGGCTTCATCAACAACAGGTAGGGCTCGCGGGTAGCCCGCTTGGCGGGGCCTCTGGGTTCCCAGACGCCATGGATCTACGGGCTTGGGTTTGCAGCAACGCCCGAGTCTCTGAGGAATGGGAGAGCTGGCGGGCCTTGCGTCCCACGGGCAGCAGGTGGACGTGGTGTGTGCAGACAGAGGCGCTGCCGGGAAGCCCACCCGGCCAGGGGACAGGCGGCCGGCTCCCGACTAATGAGTCACCGTCCCTTCCTTCCCAGCTGCCCCATCCCCAACACGTACACGAACGTGATCGAGAATGGGGATTCCAGCAAGGCCCAGTTCAAGCTGAAAATCTTCTCTTTCATCAACAACTCCATCGTCTATCTGCACTGCAGACTTCGCATTTGCATGGACTCCCCCGGAACCACGTGCAAAATAGTAGGTGTTTCGCTTTTCTGAATGCGTGTCTGGACTCGTGCACCTTATTGCTCTGAGGAGGGTTGCTCCGTTGTCTGAAGCCCAGGGCTTGAGCAGCTCTGGGGGCCCGACTCCTGGAGGAGACACGGGGCCCCACACACTGAGCCCCCAAAAAGGGGCAACGTGAGGTGTGGACGGTGGGCAGCCCACGGGGTTGGCGACCCTTGTGGTTGGATGGCTAAGCTGCGTCCTGGATGACTAAGTCGCATCCCATCCCTGGCCGCGACACTGCGGTGCTCCTCCAGGTGCTTTAATGCATATTCAGGTGTAAAAACATTACTTGAATTTCGTGTTATTTTTAGCAACATTGATGGAACGCTCCTGAATCCCACCACTGTGATATTTAATAAGACGGGGGTTCCCCCCCCATGTTCATCCTTCGTGTTGGGATCTTGAATAATTTTACATTCTCATTTCCTGAGACCTTTGAATGTGAGATATGCTTTGCAGTCCTAGGGGCTGAAAGCTGTTCTTCATACCAGACAGGTGCGTGAGCTGTCACGCGCTGTCTGCGCCAAGGACGGTGTACAGAGCTCTGCTGGCCTCGGGCCCAGCTCCTGCGTGTTTGTCTCTCCTCTGCGCTGCTCACAGACCTGTGGGCTCCCTGGGTGACCCGCCCCCGGCACCCCCAGAACGTGCATAGGAGATGAACTGATTTTGTTGATGGCACTTTTTCTCACACAGTAGATCTTCCAGAAAAAAAAAAAAAAAGGATTGAGAGGAACACAGCCTCCCCTCCACCCCCCTGCCCGATGACTGGAAGCTAAGGGTGCACATGCGCCTGCACCTGTTCCAAAAGCCCCTCAGAAATACAGAGTATTTGTAGCCCCAACCACCTTGGCAAGGAGCTGCCAATTCCCGGATTCTTTATAATATGGCTTTACAGATTCCTCTCCAGGTTCTCTTAGGGCTGGTGTTGTTTTGGTGTCCTGTGGCTGCAAGGACCACAGGGCACCCGAGATAGCAGGCACGCGTCCTCTGAGGGGCTGAAGGCTGGATGTCCACGCTCAGGGCGTGGGCAGGGCTGGCTCCCCCTGGGGCTGTGCGGGAGATGCATCCAGGCTCTGTCCTTGGCCTGTAGACACGGCTTCTCTCGGTGTCTTCACTGCTCTCCCCTGTGCCTGTCTGTGTCCAACGTCCCCTTTTCATAAGGACACAGTCATGTAGGATGCACCTGAGTGACCTCACCTTACCTTCATCCACAAAGACCTTGTCTGTAGATAAGGTCCCATCCATAGGTCCTGGGGAGGCTAGGGCGTCAACATCTCTTAGGGGGAATAATGCAGCCGGTGGCAGGTACATAGCGAGCAGTTCCCACCTCGTCCCCAAGACTTTCCGCAAGGCGGAGGCGTGGAAAGGAACAAGTGGCCGCTGCCTCCGGCCGTAGAGAACTGCCAAGGCGACTCAGAGCCAACAGAGGGGCCCAGGGGCCGAGGGGCCAGGGCTTGGAGATGGCTCAGCAGGTGCTCTCTCGAACCCCCTCTCCCCCTCCCTCCTGTCACCCTGGCAAAGCCCCGAGGCCCAGGTGGTCATTCCCTCGTCCCACTCCCCTATCTCAGCTCATCCTCCTGTGACTGGCCGCCTCCAGCCGGTTTGCAACATACGGATCAGAGTCTCACCGCGACAGTGACCCCACTTCCCGGCTCTGATTAGTTTCCGTCCAACTCATCTGAATGTTTCTTTCATTCCGAAAACAACAGAATTGCGATGGCATCCGGTCCCCCAGGAGCGGTGAAGCATCTGCGACACACCAGACATCCTGGGGACCCCTCATTCGGTCTGAAGGTGAGTTGGTGACTTGGATTAGTCAGCTGAGGAACAGATGCCGCTGGTTCCGTCTCCCCAGTGCGTGAACCAGGGTGCTGCCACCGGGAACCGGGGGACCCGGGACGGTCCTGCAGCCTTGCCACAGGGGACGCAGCAGCTGGTGAGCGTGGAGACCATTGATTCCAGCCTGCAGTTAAATCCTTCTGGTGCAGAGTGGGGCTGCCCCCCACCCCACCCGGCAGGCCTGGGGGTAGGAGCCCTGCCGTCCCCATGGTGTAGAAGAGAAGGCTGGGGCTTCGGGAAGTCAGCACACGCTTAGTTAGATAAAGCAGTATGTTGGGCTGCGTCACCGAGACCAGTCAAGTTTCCTGACCCAGAATAAATATACCACGTGGGTTGGTTGCTGGGAGGGAGGAACTCAGGCTACGCCAGGTCGGAGTCCGTGTGGGCACACGTGTGTGCATGCATGTGTCAGTGCGTGCACACATGAGAATGCTGTTTATTCTGGGCTTGGCTAAATTAGAAGATGCAAAAAAAAAAAAAAAGGCATGGCTTCCTCCATGGTATAATATTCCACCAGCTGATTACATTCCATGTGATTTCAAGGGCCGCCGTCACTTCTCCAGAAAAACATTTTATTCCTTTTGAGATCGATTTTATTGTTATTGTTGTTGTTTTTAAATTGGTTGGGGGAAATTGTGTGATTTGAGTATTGAGACTGAAACCTCGGGGCGCCTGGGTGGCTCATGGGTTGAGCATCTGACTCGTGGTCTCGGCTCGGGTCATGATCTCGGGATCAGGAGATCGAGCCCCACGTCGGGCTCCGCACTGCGCCGAGAGTCTGCTGGAGGTTCCCTCTGCCCCTCCCCACCCTTGCGTGCACTCACGCTCTCTCTCCCTCTCTCTCTAAAATAAATAAATTTGAAAAAAGACAGAAATCGCTAGCTGTCCCCCAGGAGCTGTTCTCTTCCCCTTCATAGTTGTAGAATCCCCAGTGTTTTGCTGGCACGTGGCTCCTGGGAATAAGAACTGTGATTTCCGGCCGACCTGGCAGCTACGTGTGGCCATAGGAGTAAGTTCTGGCCAATGAGATGCAAATGAGAGGTCGAGTGACAGCTCTCGAAGGGGTGCCCATCGTGCGTCCCTCTCTTCTTGATCATGTCTCTTCCGGCTGCCTGGCAGGGGAGGTGGGGGGTGCGGCCAGCTGCCTGGTGGACCCTGCGGGCCTTGAGGACAGGAGCTGGAGGGAGTCCCATTCCCAAGGACACCGCAGAGCGAGTGTGCCAGGCCAGGCTTGGCCTCTGACCTCTGAGTTTTGTGCCAGAAAGAAAGGAACTTCCACGTTTCTTGGTCACTGCTATTTTGGCTTTTTCTCCTTCTGTAGCTAAACGTAATCCTAGTTAGTTTTCCTTTTTTGTTGTTTTTTCCCCCAACTTTGAGGGCCTTCCTGGCCTCTCTGTATCTTCCTGCACAAGAACTTTGGGGTTTTGGTTGTGGGGTGTGAGCCAGGGTCCGAGTGCTGATCAGGGCTTGGGAAGGAAGCTGAGGGAGCAGGAGGAGGAGGGAGGGCCTCCTGCCCCGTGATCCTCAACTGCTGGTTCTCATCCAATGTGCTTGTGAAGTTAAAAGGTTCCAGATTTGGGGGGTGCACCCCAGCTGGTCTCCAGGCTCCGGTGTCTGCACTGGTCATCAGGCAGTTGCAGGACCCACCCAAGGACCACATACTTCTCCTACATTTTCACTTTCTCAGATTGCTTAGGAGAACTGGCTGACCAGGGGCCCTAATATACATTTTCATTTATAGAAATAGAACTTATATTTATTTATGGATATTCCAGGTAATGTCAAAATTACTAGAGTGGAAAAAGCACTAGGCTTTGAGTTGGGGGCCTGAATTTGAATATAGACTCTCATGCTTCTAGTTGTGTCGTCTTCTTACTGAGTCTTCTGGATTCAATCTGTCCTTCCATCATTCCTCTATCCATCCACCCATCCACCCATCCATTCACTTATTTATCTATTCATCCACACACTTACATCCACCCATGCATCATTTCTCCATCCACCCATCCATTCATCTGTCTATCCATCCATCCATCCATCCATCCACTTACCCTTCCACCAACCCATCCATCATTCCTTTATCCATCCATCCATCCATCCATCCATCCATCTATCCACCTACCCTTCCATTCACCCATCCATCATTCCTCCATCCACCCATCCAATAATTTATCTATCTATCCACCCATCCATTCACCCATCCAGCATTCCCTTATCCATCCATCCATCTATCCATGCATCCATTCATCTATCCATCCATCTATCCACTTACCCTTCCACCAACCCATCCATTATTCCTCTATCCATCCACCCATCCATCCACCCATCCATTCATCTATCTATCCATCCATCCATCACTCATCCATCATTCCTTCATCCATCCATCCACTGATGCAGCATTCATCCATCCATCTATCCATCCATCCATCCATCCATCCATCCATCCATCCACTCAGCTTCCATCCATCTCTCCATTCACCCACCCACTCATTCATTATTTCATCTGTCTACATGGTAGACATACATCTCTACTAAGTGTCCAGCACTCTCCTTTATCTCTGCAACATGGGTGACTACATTGTCCTCATTTCCTTCATCTATAAAATGGGAACAATGATAACTTCTAGTTCATACAGTGCCTTGTCCATAGAAATTACTGAATAAGAGTTAGTTGTCATCATTTGAAATCAGTAGAACACACACTAACAACCATTCCAGGCAACACCAAGTGTAATAAGGGTATAAATTGTCGGGCTCAAAACCAAGGATTATAATTATTCATTTTGTTCATCATTCTTTCTCAGGGTTTTATTAGCTTTTCTTTGCTCCATGACTGTGCCACATGGATATGCACTTAGAACAAGCATTTAGAAACATGACATCTCCCAGTTGGGGGAAACTTGACGTTTTGATTGTGTACGTGAACAGAAATATTGCTGGAGAGTGCAGGGGTGAGATAGACTGGCAGACACATCCCTTCAGGATTGCCCCCCTCCCTTCCTGTGCCCACACTCTGTTCCCGTATTCACCCACGCCCTGCCCCCCATGTGTGTCCATGCTCTGACCCCGCAACGTGCACCCATAGTCTGCCCCCTCAATGCGCGCCCATGCTCTGGCCCTGCAATCACCATCACTTCCACTGTTGGGAAGAAAGAGAGTATTTGGAGAGTTCAGGGAACGTGGCCAAGCTCACAGGCTTGTAGCTGGACAGGTGAGCCCTCTGAGAGCGGTTCCTGGCTTCTCCTAGACCCCTTGCCTTCCTTTCCTGGGGCTTCCTTCTCCACATTCCCCTCCCGCGCTCCAGCCCTCACACCACCTGTGTTAGTTTTCTGGGGCTGTTGCTCCAGGAAACTAACTGCACAGACTGAGGAGGTGCTTAAAATGGGAGAAAATATTCTCTCACCGTTCAGGAGGCCAGAAATTCAAGAGCAACGTGTCAGCCGGGCTGATTCCCACCAGGGCAGTGAAGGAGAATCATTCCAGGCTCTCTCAGCTTCTGGCATTTGCTGCTCTGGCTCCCCTTGCCTTGTGGGATCTCGTCACCGGATCTCTGCCTCTGTCCTCACATGGCGTTGTCCCTGTCCTCTGTGTCTTCAAACGGCCGTCTTCTTCTAAGGGCGTGAGCCATACTGGATCAGGGGCTTCTCCTGCTGAGCGTGACCGCATCTGAACCTGCACCGACTCTATTACATCTGCAGTGACCCTGGCTCCAAATAACATCACATGCTGTGGTACTAGGGGCTGGGACCCCAACACATCTCTATGGAGGACACACACAGCACCACATGTTGCACGTCGTGCAATATATATATATATATATATATATATATATATATATATATATTTAAAGATTTCATTTATCTATTCATGAGAGACACAGAGAGGGGCAGAGACACAGGCAGAGGGAGAAGCAGGCCCCATGCAGGGAGTCTGATGTGGGACTTGATTCCGGGACTCCAGGATCATGATCTGAGCTGAAGGCAGATGCTTAACCGCTGAGCTACCTGGGCATCCCGCACGTCGTGCAATATTAAGGGAGAATCCATTTGGACATCGTCCCTGAATGTGTGCTGCCAACATATCTTATATCAGCATCACAATTTTCTGATTTAATTTTTGGAACTCTTCCATGGCCATTTGCTTCGCTAGATGACTCGTGACTTCTCACTCACTAGAGTTTCTTCGTACCGAGAGGAAGGGAACGCTTAGGTGATGTCTGCCAGAGGCTCACATGTCCCAGCAGGAAGGGCCTAGAGCCGTCATTGAGGCTACTCCAAAGTGAGGAGATGGGGGTCCCCAATTGGCTGAGTTGGAACGCACACCTTTGGAAGGGGCTGTTTTCCCTGGGGTCATACCTGTGCTAGAAGATTCTCCATCACATCCCTCACAGGGCGTGTGTCTCCTTCACCAAAGCTCTGACAGCTCAGTGTCTTTGCAAAATGACTGATTGTGTGAGCTACGCCCAGTGACCATGGCGACCGTCCTGCAGACGGGTGCGGGCTGCTTGAGCTATCCGGGTGGAGGACCAGTTTTTTTTTTTTTTTTTTTAAAAGACAGGCAGGTGATCCAACTGTGTGACCCTCATGGAGCTCACCCCACATGACTGGTCTCACCTGGATGGGTGGTCACCTCCCCGCTCCCCGATGGTGAGGGTCATGCTGCAGGATGCACTCACTCCCCATTCCTAGCTATCTCACGTGGACTGGTAACCATCCTGGGCCACAGAAACCAGTGGATAGTGCAGGCTTGTGGACCCCACCTGGCGCTGCTCTGGGTGAGGGGGTCAGTTAGGAGCATTTGGCAGCAGGTAACAGAAACACAGAGGGGCAGGCAGCAACCAAACCAGCTCATTTGTCCCCGGAGCCGGCAGTATGGGGCTGGCACTTGGCTCCACTGTGGATCCTATGTCCCTGGGGTGGTCCACCCTGCTTGTCCTAGCAAGATGGCCTGCACCCGAGCCCCGGGAGGAGGGCAGCGGCCCATTATTGCACCCCCACCCCCTAGAGGCTGGGTCTAGGGACCAGCCATGCCAATGTTGGCGGGGAAGCAGGCTGCCCAGAGTCTGGATGACTTGGGAGGGTTAGCTGCTTGAGCAACTGTCCCCAGGGCCTTCCTCCCTCTGGAGGAGGGGATGACCAGTGTTCCAGGCAGCCGGGGGGGAGGGGTGGTGGTGGTGGTGTTCTTAGTGCTGTTGTCGGACCACTTTGCCGACTGTGCACACCTGTGCCATGCCCTGGGAGACCTGGCGCAGCGTCTACTTGGAGCAAGTATGCTCCCTGTCACCTGGGTGGACACCCCACGATGTAGGAGGATGGATGGAGGTGAGCGTGATGCTGGGGTGGCTCTGGCACCTGCTGCAGATGCCCTGTCAGGGCTCATAGCCACTTGCACTGTGCTTCAGGGCACCCCGACTTCCTCACAGGGGGGTGGGTCTCTCCTCGGGGGTTGGGGGGGGCCTGCTTCCTTCTCTGGCCCTTCGGTTTTCACCTGCCGTGAAACCAGGGGAAATTCACACACCAAACAGGGAACCAATCAACAACCCAAGGGGCCCTTCACACACTCACCACGACGTACAACCACCACCTCTCCCCGGTTACAAAACGTTTTCATTGCCCCCAAAGGCGTCTCTACACCAGTTGGGGGTCCCTCCCGGCCCCCTTCCCTCAGAACCTGACACCAGTGTGCTTTCTGCCTCTGGTTTTGCCCATTCTGGATAGTTCTACAAGCAGGGTCATACTGTGTGTGGTCCTTTGAGACCGGGCCCTCTCACTGGGCCGGATGTTCTGGAGGTTCCTCCGTGCTGTAGCACACATCAGGACTCTGCTCCTTTTTGCGGCCCGACGACATTCCGCTGTGTGGACGGAACACAACTTGCCCATCTGAGCATCCTTTGGTGGACACTTGGGCTGTTGGGATACTATGAACGTGGGCGTCTGGGTGTTCGAGTCCCAATTTCCAGCTTGTTTGGGTCTGTGCTTTCCTGGATGGTCACTGGGCCTCTGGGTCTGGGGAAGGCCTCGTGGCCACGTGCAAAGTCCAACCGAGGCCCTGGCAGCCCCTGCTGCTCCCACATGGCCTGACCCCCTGGCTAGTGATAATCTAGAACGTGGGGCAGGCTGATGCGCTGCTCTCTCGGGGTCAGGACACCTGCTCGGTCACCTTTGGGAACCCACATGTACTCCAGGCCCATCAGATACAGATAATAATGTCACAAGGCAGTGGACACCGGTGGACAGCTTGGTCCCCTTCTGTCCTAAACCCTCCGCTCCACCCGCACTGGCAAGGTCAGAGTGCTGGGGTCACAGGAGACGCATCCCTCCTGGTTCAGGCGGGCCTCCCACTTGTGCCCGTCTCGTTCCCTGCAGGTGAGCATCCAGGTGCCCAGGCAGGCCTGGCAGCCGGCTACCTCGTCCTCATCGCGGTGGCCGTCTTTGCCTCGGTGGCAGGGGCAGCTGCGCTTGTCATCGTGCAGTACCAGAGAATGACAGGCAAATACGACTTCAGAGCCCGCCCGGATGACTTCAGCTACCAGGTGTTCTCTGAGTAGGAGGTCGCAGCTGGCACGAAGGTGGGTGAGGAATAAGACGCCTCCGGCGCACGCGCGTCCTACCCTCGCCACTGGGGGAGACCTGACAGTGTGTCCTGGTGGCTTTGGGAGAGGGTAGGTGGGGGCTGTCAGGTTTGACGTCCGTCAGTGGGAAGCCACAGGAGCAGTCGCAGGAGGGGAAATGGACCATCCGTCGTTAGGGACGATGAGGTGACTCATCCACTGTGCACAGCTTAACTCATCCACTGTGCACGGGTTAACTCACCCACTGAGCATGAGTTAACTCATCTACTGCATATGAGGTAACTCATCCACTGTGCACGGGTTAACTCATCCAGGTTCCCCACAACCGTGTGGGGTTGTGTTATTACCACTTCTTCAGATGAGGACCTGGGGCGGGGAGGTGAAGGGGTGCCCTGGAACACAGCTAGGAAGGGCCAGAGCTGGGATTCAGGTCTGGCGTCCGTTGTCCTAGCTGCTGAGCCACAGTGCCTTAGACTGGACGCGACCAGCTGGCCCTCCCTAGACCAGCGTGCGCCTGACTGGCATTTAGAATGAGGCTCCCAGGCTCTTCCTTTCACTGGAGACCCGGAGAAGTTGCATGTTAGCAATGATGTAAGAAACCCACAATTCTCTCGGTGGGGCACAGGCACCCAGCAGTGTGGGCAGCAGCTCCTGGGTCAGAAGTGAGGCCCCTCCTGGGACCCTGAAGCCCCTGGGGAGGCAGGTGCTGTTCCCACTGCTCAGGGTTCTCTGCCAGCCTGAGGGCCCCAGACAGGTGGGGGACTGGCAGTAAGTTCCCGTTCAACTTAACACTAACTATACATAAGACTCCTGAGCGTGGTGCCTTCTGGTCTCTGGTTTGGGGCCCATGAGGTCTGAGTCATGGAGGCCTTCCTATTTACCGACCTGTTGCATCCTATTGCCCAGGAGGGGACACTGTCCTGTAGACAGGCCTCCGTCTCAGGGTCTTCCCCTCGTCAAGGCTGCCTTCCCCACATTCAGCTCTTTATTTTCTTGAGTTAACAGAGCTTCGAAACAACCCAGCAAAGTGTGGTCGATATAAGTCCCATCCTTAAATCAGGAAATGGGGCCCAGAGAGCTCAAGTGAATCCTCCGAGTCACACAGCAGAGGCCAGATCAGCACACTTGTCCACAAGACGATGTCCTTCTCGTCGTTAGAGAAGCTCCAGGAGCTGGTTCTGCAGACACCCGGGGGCCATGCCTTTGCTTTGTCTCAGCCCCCTTGGCTCCCGGGACACCTGATAGCTTAGGTACCCATTTCCTGGGTTCTTAGAACTGTCACAGTTCAGATGGGAAAGACTAGGAGAGGGCCAGCACTGAAGGCCAGTCACCGCCCTGGACAGAGTTACAAGGAGGAATTTAGTGAATTTTACTTAATACTTGCAACATGAACCCCAATGATGATGTCAATGCATGTCTTGCTAACTTTATGAAGAAATCTGGTATGTTGGTGCCAAGGTCACCCTGAGTGTCCTCCCTCCTGAAAATGAAAACACTGGGGGGAAAATTGGCCTCTCGTCTTTTTCATCTTCTCCAGTGGCTTCCGTTTCCAAAGTGAAAAACATCTGCAACTGGTTCACAAGTTCCTGCAAAAATCTGTTCTTTGGCAAACACCACACCATCCCCACCAGGGTGGCACTCAGCTCAGCCCTGCTGCCCTGCAAGCCCTGTGTCTCGGTGTGTTCTCTGTGGATAGTACAAAGGCCAAGGCCCCGAGGGTGTGGTCGCCTGGCTCAGGTGTCCGAGCCAGACACACCTGTCTGCTGGTGGGAAGCTAGAGCTTCATTCACTGGAGACCGGGCCTCAGCCACCGTGGTTCCTATTCCTCTGTGCCTCCTGGGAGCCCTTTTGTTTGGGCCCAGTCTCTCTCTGTCCAGGAAGCGTAGAAGTCCTGTTCTTGGGGTGATGGGACCCCTTCACTACCCACGCTCTGGGAGTATTCCTGCATGAACCTCTCCTTTCCTGCATGCACACTGACCCTGGTGACCTCCTCCTTCTCCATGCAGGTACCTGTGATTCCAACTCAGTTCTTAATTCATCGAGCATTGACGGAAGCCTGCTCTGTCCCACGTCCAGAGCTTGGATGAGTCCCAGAGGTGAAAACAGCCTCTGACTGACCCAGGAGACCCGTCATCTATATAGGTCCCAGATAAGCAGTGCCCTCTAGGAGGCTGAGCGGAGCTGTTGGAGAGGGAGGCAGGGTGAGGGGGATGCCCAGACACGGGGATATTCAAACCAAGCATGAATGCAGCTCTGCCATCACACAGATCACTCCCACTGGCCCCCAGTTCCCAGACTCTTTTTTTTTTACCCTCCTAACTGGTCCAAGTGGCCCTTTTTGGTTTTGCTCACCACTGATATCTGTCACTTGTTACCCATCCATCCACCCACCATCCATCCATCCATCCATCCATCCATCCATCCATCCATCCAACCATCCATCCATCCATTCCATCCAACTGTCCACTCATCCATCCATCCATCCATCCATCCATCATTCACCTTTCTATTCATCCATACATTTACAGACCTACCCATCCATCCACCTTTCCATCCACTCATCCAACGCTGTTAAATATTTAATATTTCACATTTCTAAATATATTTGACTATATCCTTGAAGTTCTTTTAATAATAGATCCATCATAAATATATTGCTAATATTATTTATAGCAGGTATATATGCTCTTTACCTTTTCTCCTGCATTACCAGGATATCATTTTCACACACAGTGACTCAAAAGATACTCTATTAATATGAAAAAAGTAGAAACAGCATATATATATATATATATATATATATATATATACTCATTATTTTAATATTTTTCCAAGTATTTTCACAGCCATTTAAAAATACAATTTTACCCCAGGGAAGGTACTATTTACCCATTACACAATGGGAAACCAGAGAAGAAATAGGTGAGTCACTTACATAAAGTCACAAAATGAATTAAAGAGGAATCGGGTGTAGAATCTAAACTTCTATTTTAAAATGTTTTCCATGACACCCTACTGACAAGTAGTGCTTTTTACTTTATTTAAAGTAAGTTGAATTGTATCTGATAGCAAACGCCTGAAAGTATAGTGTTTTTCCTTGACGAACTTAGAATTGGAACGCGGTCATAGCTTTTAATTAATGAGATTAATTTTGTTGAATGTAACTAACTGCCATGAATACGGGACAGTTGGAGAATGTGACTATTTTGATTTAGCGGATATTCTCAGAGTCAGTAAAGAATTACAATATGTAACGTGTGTGGCTAAACTGGTTTTGGGCAAGTAGAATAAATCTCATGTGATGCTGAAATGTGGCTGGGCTGGCTGCTCTGTTTGGTTCAGGCACATCCCATGCCTTCCTGCGTCCACGGAGGGCAGGTAACATGTGTTTCTGGCTCTTCATGAGCTGCATCCATGTGTTTATTTGTTTGCTTTGGGTGTGTGTGTGTGTGTGTGTGTGTGTGTGTGTGTGTGTGTGTTTTGCTTCCATCTGTTCTGATAATTGGCTCAGTACCTGTCACTCACCTTTCTTGAAAGAAGGCAACATGTTCAGTAAATCCAGGTTTCAAGACCCATGACCGTGTGGGTCCCACATGATTATCCTCACTTTACCGCCGCAGGAATGGAGATACCGTGCAACGTTCCCACAGGGGGACAACGAATCAGTGGACAGAGCTGGACTTAGACCCAAGCCTGGCTGGTTGTAAGGTCCGTGCTCCCGCGGCAGGCTGGGGTGGGACGTAAGCACGAGCACGAACGTCCTCCCAGTGCTCATCTAACTGTTACAACAGCCCTATGAGTTAGAAGTCACTGGTCCCATTTCACAGATGAGCAAACTTGAGGCTAAAACTCTAAGTTACTGCAGTCGGCAGCTCACCACGGACACCCTGATCTTGTCCCTCCTAGTGCAGGCTCTTCCTGCGATTCTGGAGAAGACCTGATTGGCTCACTGGTGAGGAATGGGAGCCTTCCAGGGCTCTAAGGAGAACCCAGAGTCCCCCGGAGCTGTGGAGAGGCCACCCAGGAGGTCTCCGCCAGGTGGTGGGCTTCGATTGGTTGAGGCTCTGGGTCGCTAGCGGTTCTCACGTCCAGACGCCACCGGGAGCCCAGCGTCCTTCCCGGCCCAGGATTTTTCGGGCTGATTCCCTCTGAGCTGGAGGGTCCGGTGGAGGTGAAGGTGGAGGCGAGAGTCGTCCCCGCTCCGGGTGCGCCCTCCACCCGGACTGCACTGGGTGGCTCGGCCAGTAGATGGCGATGCAGACCAGGGCTGGAGGTCCTCGTTCCCGCCGCAGCCACAGCCCTGCTTCTCTGGTTGGTTCTTTTTTTGCTCCCTTTGAGCCATTTGCCTGCAAACGAGGGGAATCTGGGAATTTGCCTGCAAACGAGGGGAATCTCTCAGGGCACCAGTCTGCTGGGGTGCAGCCCTAGGGGTCCTGGAAACTGCTCAGGAAAGGATGCCCGTCTTCCAGGGTGGCTGTGGCGCCTGGAGAAGTGAGTTATTTCCATGCAGCGACCCGAGTGGACCCTGCCTTCCCGCCAGGACTGCCCAAGGGAGGGAGACGCCTCCTCACCCCTTCCTCTCACCCCGTGTCTGGGGCGGGAAGGGCAGCCCCACCGGGAGACAGTCTCTATGTGCCGCAGAGCTGCTGGGGATGAGCCAGCATCCTGCATCCCTAAAGGGGGACACCCCAGGGGGGGACCTCCGATGCCCGCTTGCCCCGGGGACCTGGGGCCTCCAGCAAAGCCTGAGAGCCGGCGGGCTGGAGGAGGACAGCGTGTGTGCCACAGGGTAGAAGTGCTTCCAGCCTGGACACTGTGTGGGCATCTTTCTGGGTTTAAGTTCCCTGGGGGCAGGTTATGGTCAGGCAGGGCAGGGGGGTGCCCAGCGTGGAGGAAAACCAGGGTGCCCCGGGCTGGTCCCAGCGCTCAGGACGCTGCATCTCGGCCACATGGGGAGGGATCCTTTCCGGCACCAGGGACTGGACAGTCTTGCTTGTTGAGGCCCGGGAGCCACAGTGATTCTGATGGAAAGAAATTGATGGTAAGGACTTAGCGGGGGAGTTCCTGAGAGTTGGCACCCCACAGGGTAGCGTGGAATTATGGGAGTCAGGGTGGCATGGGGGCTACGGGCACTGACTCTCCTACATGTCACCTAATCTCTCTGAGCCTGCTTCTTCACCTGAGAAGTGGGGATGGTGGTAGCAAGGGTCAGGGAGCTTTGGGCTACAGGCAGTGGAGACCTCTACCCAACAGGCTTTAACGATAAAGACGATTCAAGGCCTCCTGCAGATTAAAAGTCCAGGGCAGGGTGGGCTTCAGGTGAGGCTCGCTCCTGCAGCCCTCAAGGACGGACCTTTTTTGCTCTCCTTCCATGGCTTCAGCCTCAACCAATGGTTCCCTCTTAGGCCCTCGATAACTATGAGAAGTGATCAGGACTAGGTGTGCCTTTGTTCACGGGTGGCCAAAGAAAGACCGTGTCTCCCCCAACTACGGATCGAAGGGGCTGAAGTTATGTCTTGGTTGAAACATCCTGGATCGTGTCCCCAATCCTGAGCCAGTCACTCAGGCCAGGCTCCAATGATGACTCCAGAACACTCACCAAGAGGCACCGATGGCTGGTGCTGGACACACACACGCCCCGTTTCTTGCTGCTGCTAACTTGGGAGGCCAGCGCTGGCACCCCGAAGCTGTGGGAAGAGAACAGAGGTGCCCCCAAGGCATCGGTGACCTACCCCCAAACAAGAAGCAGGTGCAGGAGCTGGGCCAGACCTCCCAGAGTGTGGACTGCCACACATGGGTCCCACCCAGGACCCAGGGCCCAGGGTCAGCGCCCAGGAGCACCCTTGGAAGGAGGAGGGTTTATGTTCCAATAAACATCGGGAAGCCTGGCTGCACGAGGCCATGCTGCCGGTTTGGGGCAGGATCTCTTAGCTGCCTGAGTGCATGGGGGCCGCAGTCTCCATCCCAGCCCTGGCCAGGCCCTGACCTTGACCTTCACTCTCCGTCCAGCAGAGGAGAATATTTAAGACGATGCAGGGGCGAGCACAAGAGCCTGGTCCCCCGAGGAGGGGTTGGGTAAACATCAGCCCCACCCCAAACCTCCCTTTGTTCCAGAACCTTCCTCCCTTAGGGGAACCTGGGCAGAGTGGGAGGCTCACCACCTGGCATGACCCACAGGGGCTGGGCCTGGGAGGCAGGACCCACAAAACAACAATCCCCGGCCTCCCTCTGAGCGGGGCCCGTGAGACTTCATCCTCCTGGCCCCCCTGCCCCGTCACCTGGCCACAGTGGGGAGCCCTGGTCTGGGAAGGGGGCGGCCCGGCGAGGAACCTGGCAGTGGAGCCCTGGGGACAGGCGAAGGGGGCACCTCGCTGCTCACGCCGTGCAGGAAGCTGCATCCACGTGGCCTCTGTGGCCTCCTACTCCCGTGGACTGGCCGGCTCGGCCTCCCCCTGGGGAGGAATTGGCTCACCCAACACCCAGGAGTGTGAGGGCCTCACTCGGAGCTGTCAGCTCCTTGCCTGAGGCGGCCTCCCTCACGCTCTTGCCTGCACTTGAGCAGGGCCATGGTGACCAGATGTCCCCAGTAGGTCCCCGTGCCCGCTGGCCATGCTCAGACCCACATAAACTGGCCTCTCCGGGGCCCTGGCTGCTCAGGACAGGGGGACAGCCCCCCGGCACCCTTTGTCCTTCCCGGGGAGCCTGGTGTGATCCTTCAGCCCCTCAAGGGCAGGACCCACACCCCGCAGGAGCCTTCTCAGCAGCCTGTCCCTTCACAGAGGCTGCTGACCCATAAGCTGGTCCCTCTGTGTCCTCCTCGGGGCAGCAGGACCAGGACTCTCTCTGGGCAGCCCCGGGTGCTGGGGTGGCCCAGCTTTTCAGGTTTGCAAAGAGCTCCCCCACTTGCTACCCCACGCCTGGAAGGAGGTGATGCCGAAGGTCGCTGTCCCGGGACGTGTCCACTGTCCTGCTCTGTGCAGCGTCTTGGCCCTCAGCTCCCAGGGCTTCCCAGTCTGCACCAGCTTGCAGGGACCAGTCCCCATCGGGGGGCTCCTGTGCACCGCAACAAGAAGGTCGGGGAGACAGGACCCTGTGGGTCATTCCCCTCCCACCCATCCCGGCCCTGTTGTGGGAAGGCTGAAA